AGAGGGAGAGCAAGTGCTTCCTTCCCCTGATTCACTCCCCAGATGGCTGCAATAGCCAGGTCTGGGCCAGGCCAAAGTCAGGCGCCAGGAGCCTCATCCAGGTCTCCCACATGGGTAGCAGAGACCCAAACCCTTGGATCATCTGCTATTTTTCCTGGTCTGTCAGTGGGGGATGGATTGGAAGTGGAGAAGCTGGGCTACAAGCTGGCACCCACATGAGATGCCAGCATTGCCGGCAGTGACTCCACCTGCTACTCCACAATGCCAGCCCTAAGACATATCCTTGTGCCAACATCCCTTCAGCGGTTGCCATCTCCCTCCGGGTGAAAGTCATAGCAATCACAATGGCATAAAAGGCTCTGGCCTGATACCTCTCCAACCTTACCTTCTACTGCTCTCATCCTCACGCCACTTATTAAAGATCATGCAAATTACAGGCATAACTTAAAGACCTTGGCACTGTTGAGATTTTCTTTCTGGAACTTTCTTTTCCCAGTTAGCCCTGTGACTCTTTCCCTTACTTCCTCAACTCTGCTGAAATGTCACCACACAGAATAGTGCCCAGTCCTTCCTTGTCTCTCTTTTCTCCTAGTCTGTTTTCTTTTTCTCCATCCAGCTATCAGTCCTATCAGCATATCAGCATAATACCTCTGATCGATGGTCTGTTTATCTTTTTCCTGGCTCACCCCCACACACCAGCAGGAACTTAGCTTTGTAAACTCCTGTATTCTTGGAGAAAAAATAATGCCCTTCACATAATGGTGCTCAATAAATATTTGATAAAGGAATGCATGAGATAACTACACGAATATAAGTGTTACAGTTATGCTTCGTGCTGTAAAAGAGAAGTATTGCCTTTTCCTTCTTGTTAATTGTCTTCTGTTTCCAGAAAGGCAGGAGTAAGGGAAGAGAAAAGAGAGAGAGAAATATCATCCACCTGCTGGTTCACTTCCCAAATGCCTGCAGCAGCTGGGGTTGGGTCAGGTGAGGGCAGAAACCTGTAACTCAGTCCCGTTTCCCACTTAGGTGGCAGGGACCCAAATATTTGAGCCATTGCCTGCTGCCTCCCAGGATGCGCAGTAGCAGGAAGCTGGACTGCAGAGTGGAGTTGGGACTCCAACATGGGATGTGGGTGTCTCAAGCAATGGCTTAACCAGCGCACTGCATCCCCTGGTTAATTGTCTCGGCTTAGTCAGAATTCAGAGAAGCCGTCAATGAAGACTTGAGAGTTACAATGAGTTGAGTTAGCCAGACCTGGGGAGGGGGTGGACGAGTCCTCTGGGCACAGGAGTGGCACCCTGGAGGGTCAGAAGTCTAGCCTGGGCAGGGGCCTGTGGATGAGGGGCAGTGAGGCCACTGGAAAAGTTTGAAGTCTGTAAACAACAACCTGGTGTGTTTGCTTATTTATATAGAGCTCAGGCTGCCGAGGCCTGTTCTCAGGGATTTACTGCCAGCAGCTCATGTTACCCGCATACAGCATGATGGTGTAGGTGCCACTACTGACCCATTTTACAGATGTGGACACTGAGAGGCCGGACTGATTGAGCGGCTTATCCAACATCACACAAGTACTAACTGGCAGAGATGGGGTTCATACCACGTGGTCTGGCTCCACAGTCCATGCTTTTTCAAAACCTTCTCCTTCGATGTTAATTTTTTTGAGTACATTAGCAAGTACATGAAATGCCTCCATAAAGAAAAGAGGCTTGTTTGACTCGCAGTTTTAGAGGGAAGATCACCTGGAGAACCAGGAGTTGGGGAGAGGTATGGGCCAGTCCCATGGGAATACAGAAACCAGAGAAAGGGTTGGGCCAGTCACAAAAAAAGTATGCAAGAAGGTCCAATGCACTCTTTGTATGGTTTTCCCCATTGGTTACCCCTTGCATGATGATGGCACAATGTGAGATCCAGGAAACTGGCATGGTACAATCCACAGAGCTTATTCCGATGTTACCAGTTTTCCTTGCACTCATCATGTGTGTGGTTGTACGTAGTTTCCTTCAGTTTTGCCGTATGTGTAGACTCACGTGACAGCTGCCTCAGTAGAGATCGAGAGCTGTCCCTTGACCGCAAGTCTCCATCAAGCTACCCCTAATGACCACATCTTCCTGTTCTCATGGCAAACACTAGCCAGTTCTCCATTTCGATAATTTCATTTCTTTTTTTTTAACTTTTATTTAATGAATATAAATTTCCAAAGTACGGCTTATGGATTACAATGGCTTCCCCCCAATAACGTCCCTCCCACCCGCAACCCTCCCCTTTTCACTCCCTCTCCCCTTCCATTCACATGAGGATTCATTTTCGATTCTCTTTATATACAGAAGATCAGTTTAGCATACATTAAGTAAAGATTTCAACAGTTTGCTCCCACACAGAAACATAAAGTGAAAAATAATAGATGATTTTTTAAATGATGATGAAATCAGATCAGACCTATTGTCATGTTTAATCCCATTTCAAGAATGTTATATAAGTGGGATCCTAAGTACCTGACCTTTTGTGATTGCCTGAGTTCACGGAGCATAATTCTCTTTAGGTCTATCTAAACTGTTGCACGCATCCATAGTTTGTTCCTCTGCATTGATGGGTAGTATTCTATGGCATGGATGCACCACTGTTAGTTTAACCATTCACCACTGAAGGACACTTGGATCAGTTCCAGTTTAACAACTTGTTTACTTAAGAAAGAGAAAGAATGAGAGCGAGAGCAAGAGGGAGAGCGAGAGTGCGCGCGTGCAAGAGAGTTATGCCGGCAAATAGAATTCACAGAAAAGAATACTTGGAGAGGAGGGAGTTGCAGACAGAAAGTTCTAGAGCTTTGAAGAATGACCTATTGAGTCTTAGGCTAAATACTTATCTTTCCATTCATGTAAGAAACTAGCAGGAGAAAGAACCACCAGTAGCCCTAACAATCCTTGGAACTCACAGGGGACTGAGAATAATTCCCGGCAGCTAGAGTGGAAAGACCTCCAAATACATTGGGCATCAAGAATAGCTCTCAGAGAAGAATTGCCCAGCAATGGGCCAACTTAGTCCTAGACTACACTGGACTTTCCCTAAAAAATCTTAAAACAAAGCCTTGGAAGTATAAGACTTATTCCAAGTAATTGAATGGCATTCTAAAACAAACAGCCAAAATATTTAAAGCAATATTATAAAATCCAGCAGCCAGCAGTGTGAAATGCAAAAATGTCCAACACCCAGTCAAACTTACCAGACATACAAGAAAATATGGCTGATTACCAGGGGGAAAATATAACATATAGGGACTGAGCCACAAATGATACAGAAAATCAATGCAGAGTCATTATTATAAATATACTTTGTAAGCCTGAGAAGGTAGAGAAAAACATGAGTGTCTCAATGAGAGAAATGGAAAGTGTAAAAAAGACCCAAATGGAATTTTTAGAGTTGAAAACTTTGAAATGATAGGGATGGAATTACTTGATCATATGTTTATTTGTTTTTTTCTTTTTTTTTTCTTTATTTGAAAGGCAGAGTTACAGAGAGGGAGAGAGAGAGAGAGAGAGAGGTCTTCTATCCGCTGGTTCACTCCCCAAATGGCTGCAATGGCCGGAGCTGAGCGGATCCAAAGCCAGGAGCCAGGAGCTTCTTCTGGGTCTCCTGAGCTGGATGGGAAGTGGAGCAGCCCGGTCTTGAACCCGAGCCCATATGGGATGCCAGCACTGCAGGCAGCGGATTTACCTGCTACACCACTGCGCCAGTCCCCATATGTTTATCTTTCTAAGCAGTTATACTCCTATCAGTGATGTGTGAATGTTCCTGTTGCTCCACGTCATTGCCAACACTTGATGTTGTCAGCCTTTTAATTTTTTAGCCATCTTGTGAGTTTGTAGTGGTCCCATTATGAGTTTAATTTGCATAATCTTGTTAACTAATGCTATGATCACCTTTCGTGGGCCTACTGGCCATTTATATATTTATTTTTGTGAAGCTTAACTTCGTATCTTTTCCCTATTTTTCCTATTGTATTGTTTACCTTCCTACTGAGTTATAAGAGTTCCTTGTAAATTATAGATATAAATACTTTGTCAGATCTATAACAGAGTCAATTTTTTAAATATTTTATTTATTTATTTGAGAAGTAGAGTTATAGACAGTGAGAGGGAAAGACAGAGAGAAAGGTCTTCCTTCCGTTGGTTCACTCCCCAGATGGCCACAATGGCCAGAGCTGCGCTGATCCGAAGCCAGAAGCCAGGTGCTTCTTGCCAGTCTCCCCTGTGGGTACAGGGGCCCAAGGACTGGGACCATCTTCTACTGCTTTCCCAGGCCTCAGCAGAGAGCTAGATCGGAAGAGGAGCAGCCGGGACTAGAACTGGTGCCCATATGGGATGCCGGCATTGCAAATGGAGGATTAACCTACTGCACCACGGTGCCAGCCCCCCAGAGTCAATGTTTTTAACCACCCCTCTTTGCTGAACTGAGGGGCATGGCATGGTGGTGGTAAGAATATAAACAGGCCATTGTAGTAACCAAGGAGATGGTTGCATCTTATACTAGGGTAGGGGTTCAGATGGAGTAAAACAGATGAGACTTAAACATTATTTTCTAAAAACTTAACGAATTCTGTGTCTGCTTGTCCTTTTCTTTTGTTCTTAAATATATTTGTAAAATAAACAAACAAATAAATAAATAAATAAATAAACAAACTTGGGGGCCAGCGCTGTGGCGCAGTGGGTTAAAGCCCTGGCCTGAGGCACCAACATCCCATATGGGTGCCGGTTCTAGTCCCAGCTGCTCCTCTTCCAATCCAGCTCTCTGCTGTGGCCTGGGAAAGCAGTGGAGGATGGTCCAAGTCCTTGGGCCCCTGCACCCACGTGGGAGACCCAGAGGAGGTTCCTGGCTCCTGGCTTCGGATCAGCGCAGCTCCATCTGGGGAGTGAACCAGCGGATGGAAAACCTTTTTCTCTGTCTCTACCTCTCTCTGTAACTCTGTCTTTCAAATAAATAAATCTTAAAAAAAATAAACCTGATCACTTCACTTCTGTGCTTGAATCAATTACAGGAGAATGTCCCAGGAACCTACAATGTACTGCCTTTTCCTGTTCCTTTTTCTGAGCCATGGAGTGGCAAGTCATAGAGCTCCCAATACCAGACAGGGTAAGTCCTGGGGGAGGAATCACCCTCCTGGGTTTCCACACATCTTACAGATGTAGTGGGATAAATCAACTCAGGTACATGATGCTTTATGGTATCCTGGCGCGCACGCGCGCGCGCGCGTGTGTGTGTGTGTGTAATTTTCAAGATTATTCTGATGGGATTTTTCAAACCAGGGCTTTCTCACAACACAGATATAATTAAAATTCACTAAAAATTTCCTTCCAGTGACTTTTTGTAGTCTCTTCTCATAACTCATAATTGGATTTCTGAAGGTCAGACAATTCAATCCTGATGATACATTCCATGGCTTTCTTACAGATTTGCATCCATTGTTACAAAAAATGGCGGTGAGTATTCCATTTTCCTTTCATCAGAATCCCCTGCACTGGAACTGCCAACTTTTGAATGTTATACTTGATGTTATCTCCTTTGCCTCTTAGGAAGAAATAATACAGGGAAGCTATCTGAATGGTAATGCCCCACATGATGTCTTCTAAGAATTTCAAACAGAATGGAGCTGTGATCTCTCTGGAATGGTTCCCTTTTAAGTTGTCTTTTCATTTTATTCCCACTGTAGCCTTGCTGGATCTCATACAGTTTCAAAGGTAACCCACTCTGGGGAGGGGAGAGGGGTGGGCTAGGCTTTTAATGAAGATTCTTAATGGAAGTCTCTTAATTGTAGAAAGTAACATACATTCGTGCACACCACGAACAAATGTCAATCAATGCAAAAGTGAAGTCGACATTGGTTCCAGTCATTCCCCCTCTGCTCTAACATACGAGCCAAAACTTACCAAGTGCTCACTCTGTAGCAGACATGTTTCTAAGTGCTTGGTGCACAGAAGCACATCTAATTCTCACAAGTGCCCCCTGGTATAGGTCCCGTTGTTATTCCCTTGGGCAGAACAGTGACACTGAGGCACAGAGCGGGAGAATTGAGGCCCCACAACCAGGAAGTGTGGAGCTGATCTGTAGACCCAGCGCCTGGCTCCGGGACCCATTCCCCTCACTGCCTGTGTTACATGCTGCATTCAGGCCTGTGTTAGCCATGCGGAATGTGGCACAGGGAGTTGTGGAAAGGCCAATCTTAACAAGCGGTTCTAACATGATGAGGACCACGAAGGAGAAGAGATGGTTCACTCCCCAGATGACAGGGACACATGATTACAGGAAAGAGATCTTTAAAATAATCCTGTCCTTGAGGTAACTCCAATGGATGGATAACTGGGGTATATATATTTTTTCAGGTTAAACATTTATGTAATTAACTAGTTAATTAGTCTACTCATCTATTTATTTGCAACAAAAACAGGACTAATAAAGGCTTTTTGTGAGTGTTGACTATGTTTGGACCCTGTTTTAAGCATTTTGCATGTGTGAATGAATTCCATCCTACCATTGTTAGCCATATTTCACAAAAAGGGGACACCCGGGCACAAGAAAATTCATCAAATTACCTAAGGCTGTACAACTGAGTGTTAGAGCCCAAGTTCAAATCCGGATTTGCAGCCCACATCCTTTTGGTTTTTTTAAAGATATTATTTATTTTATTTGAGAGTTAGAGTTACAGACAGTGAGAGGGAGAGACAGAGAGAAAGGTCTTCCTTCTGTTGGTTCATTCCCCAAATGGCCGCAACAGCCAGAGCTGTGCTGATCCAAAGCCAGGAGCCAGGAGCTTCTTCCTGGTCTCCCACGTGGGTGCAGGGGCCCAAGGACCTATGCCATCCTCTACTGCTTTCCCAGTAGAGGCTTTCCCAGGCCACAGCAGAGAGCTGGATTGGAAGAGGAGCAGCCGGGACTAGAACCAGTTCCCATATGGGATGCCGGTGCTGCAGGCAGAGGATTAACCTACTGTGCCAAGGCGCTGGCCCCAGCCCACATTCTTAGAAATGCTATTCTACCCTCTTGTAGGATACACTGCATCTTTGTTTTTAGATCTTATGGGAAAAATGCCTTTCCAAGTCAGTCTGTTTGGACTTTATCAGCCCTGGTGTGTTGATATGGGAGTTAGAATATTGTGCCTGGCTCAGATATTGGTAACTGTCTTTAAGAGAATGGGATCAAGACAGATTCCTAGATTTGGAAACTCCCCTACCACTGTCCCACTGTTAATAACCTCCTACTTGCAAGCATTGGATTCCTAGCATCCCCGGCCCAATCCCAGCATCCTCTCTGAGTTCCTGTCCCCTGGATACGCAGCTAGTGCGGCACCACTTGTAGCAGAACCTGTCATCGTGACGCTCTCCCTTCTGTCTTCAACTGAAGCGCCCACGTCTGGACGGCAGACCTGTCCCACAGAGTGCTGGCCTATCTGCATTCACGGAATGTTGCCTTCACCATCCCCAGCCTGCAGGTGTGTACCCGAGCCCCACCCATGTGTTTCCTCTCAGTGCCCACGGATTGCACACGCAAAGGCTAGGTAGGTTGGAGAAGTGGGTTGGGTGTGGAGACTGCCTTCACTCCCACAAAGGAAAGAGTTCTTCCCACTTTTTCTTGAAACATGATACAAGCTCTTTGGTCTTTCATTTTTCCACCTGTGATGGAGCCAAGATGTGTTCGTGTACAGGACGAGATGCCAAGTCACAGCAGCTCAAGCAATGTAGTGGGTGTTTTTTCTCATGGAAGAGTCTGACCTAAGTGGAAGAGTCAGAGAGGAGGGAGCAGCTCTGCCTCCCAAAGCCATTCAGAAGCCCGAGTTTCTTTTATCTTCTTGCTCTCTCACCCCTTAGAAGGCTGTTGCCCTCGCGGTTGATACTCTGCATCTGTTCCCCAAAGCCGGGGAGGGGTTGGTGGGAGGAGGAAATGAGGGGCGAGCCTTTCTCTTCTAAGGATGTGACTTGCGCAAGCTACTGCTCAGCTTCCATTGGGTCACCTGCCATACCCGTTACTATGGCTGAAAAGGATAATGGGAGGGTGGATGTTTGGATATAACTGTCAGTCTTTCAGGCATGGGTCTAGGAAATATTTTTCACCCTTTTAACTCTACTCTGGGGAAGACAACAGCACAGCATGTTGGTAGGTAGCAACGGATATATGCCTCAAGGAGCAGTAGGGCTTAGTGGGGACTGTGGCAAACTGGATAGCACATGCCTTTTCAGCATGACCACTGTGGTACGTTGTGTCTTTACCATTACACTGTGACTAGCACAGATAATTAAGGAAATATTAATTCAGCATTCAAAAACTATTATCTGGTGCATTCATTAATGAATGAATAAGGTTCCAATATATGTTTTTGTTGTTTCCATTTTTACTTATTTTTTTTAAATACTTATTTATTGGTTGGAAAGGCAGAGTTACAGAGAGAGAGGGAGAGATAGAGGCATACAGAGATTTTCCATCCACTGGTTCACTCCCTAAATGGCCCTAACTACTGGCCCTTTGTCCTGGTCTCCCACATGGGTGGCAGGGGCCCAGACATTTGGGCCATCTTCTGCTGCTTTCCCAAGCATATTATCTGGGAGCTGGATTGCAAGTGGAGCAGGTGGGACTCAGACTGGCACTCATATGGGATGTGAGCATCACAGGGGGCAACTTTACTCACTATGCAGATTTTTATACCCATGTTTTAATGAAAACAAAAATACCAGCCAACATTCATGACATAACTCCATTCAGAGAGCTGGTTGTTTGCCATTTACTAAGATACCCACTAGCTGAAGGTGGCCGTGAGCCTCACGTGCACCTGCTTTCCTGCTGTTCATCAGTTATGCCAACCTAAAGATAAATGGCGTCTGCCCTGATCTCTCTAGCCTTAAGGGCTCTTGTGAGCTGTATCTATTTTAACCTGGTGAGAAGATTCACTACTTCTCTTCCAATGTATGTATTCCTTGGTCCATTTAATATCTACCTGTTTAGCACCTATATTCTTCTAGGCACAGTTCTAGATATTAAAGACTTAGCGAAGAACAAAACAGTTATGGTATTACCCATGTGGACCCTTCATTCTAGGGGGGAGACACTAAATAAATCATTTGTCAACTCATTCCATATAGTGAATAATGGCTAGCACTATTGACTACTTATTGTGTGCTAGGCACCACTGAAAACATTTTACTCACTTACTTAATCAAAAGAACCCTACCTGGTAAGTCCTACTATGACATCCATGTTTCAGATGAGAAAAACGAGGTACAAGAGGTAGTGTTGCCAATTTAAGTTTTTTTAAAAAAATTAATTTCATTTGAAAAGCAAAGACACACACACACAGAGAGAGAGAGAGAGAGAGAGAGAGTTAGATCTGCCATCCTCTGGCTCATTCCCCAAAAGTCTGCAACAGCCAAGGGTGGGCCAAGCCAAAGCCAGGAACCCATAAGTCAGTCCGGGTCTCCCATTTAGGAGGGATCCAAGTACTTGAGCCATCATCCGCAGTGTTGCCATCTTAACAAGTAAAAATACAAGGTGTCCAGTTCAGTTTGAATTTCAGATAAAAATAAGTAACTTTAAAAATGCAAGTCTCAAATATAGCATGGGATGTACTTGTACTAAAAATAGACTCATTTATGTGACATTTGAACATAAGTGGGTATCAGTATTTTACCTGCCAAGCCTAGTTAAGTAACTTGTCCAAGGTTGCAGAGCCAGGAAGTGTCAAGGTAGAGATTTGCACAGGGGTTCTCTGGTTCTAGATGCCCCCTCTTGCCCATGACACTACACTGTGCTGCCTTTGTCAGTCTAAGCAAGATTTGGAAAGCAAGTCCCCAGGCAGCAGAGGGAGTCTCTTGCAGGAGGAGTTGCTGACCTCTCGCTATGCCCTGGAGGGAATGCCACGGACAGTTCATCTCTTCCACCTGCATTTTACCCTTGTGCTGACAGTGTGGGTTTGAGGAGCAGCACCATGGGGAAGGGTTGGGGGATGCAGTAAATGTTCTGGGCAGGGACCATCTGCTCCGACCTTGAAGTTTCCATCACCTGCAGGGATCAGGCAGCCCATGGCTGCTGGGTCTGTGGCGAGAAGGAGAGTCATTTCAGTGGGCAGCTGCCACCGGCTTGCTGACAGTCATCCGAGAGAGGATGCACAGCCAGTGGTGGCCAGTCTTGGCATCTCCCAAGAGAATTTGAAAATCCAGACTCTGCAGTGAATTCCCTGACTTTTCTATGTCGGCAGCCAAAGAAACATTTTGGAGCTGGCCAAACCAAATCCATCTGTAGGCTGCTGACTTGGGGTCTCTCTGCAGGGACTAACAGGGGAGTAGACCCGGTTGCTGGCCATGGTGCTGACTGCATACCTCTCGCCTGCTCTTCCAATACCCTATGTCCAGGCAGCCATGGAAAACCACCTGGAGCGGCGCTTGTATGAACCCCAGAAGCTGCTGGAGGACCTGAGGAATACTGACGTCCAGCAGTTCCGCACAGCCATGAAATGCATCTTGGAGGACAAGAAGCACCACTTGGTGGGCGTTCTCAGCATCCCAGCAGTAGGGACGTCCAGGGCCAGACAGTCTTTGCTGAATTGATCCCGAGCCAAGCCAGGGCCCTTCTTTATCTCTTCCTTCCTTCTTCCACTCTCAGCCCCCTGGGAGTTTTAGGACCTAGATTTTCTCACACGTTTTCTCCAAATTCAAATGAAGAGCTTGCCATTCACATTCATGTAGGTACTATGAAGTGCAGGATGCTGAGGCTCTTTGGAGAGTTTAGTTCAGTGAACATCCATGATCAAGTGCCATGCACCAATGGACTTAGAACACTGTGCCTGCCCTCAAAGAGCATTGTCCTTGCAGGGGAGACAAAAAGCAGAAACATATAACCACCATAATATGAGGTGAGTGATATAAGACAATCACAAAGCAAAGACTCTAAGACCCACAAAGTCCTTGGGACCCACACAGTTGAGGTTTAAATTTTATTTGAGGGACATGAACTGGTGTCCATATGGGATGCCAGCATTGCAGGTGGCAACTGATCCCATTATGCCACAATGCTGGTCCCACATTTAACTATTTTTTAATGTTTATTGCATTTATTTTTATCTTCTTGAAAGGGCAACAGATAGGTTGAGATGGATAGATATATAAATAGATAGACAGATAGATCTTCCTTCCATTGGTTCATTCCCCAAATGCCTGCAACAGTCAGGGTTGGGCCAGGCCAAAGCCAGGAGCGCAGAACTCCAGCCAGGTCTCTCACATGAGTGGCTAGGGTACAGGCACTTGAGCCATCGTCTGCTGCCTCCCAGCATGCATTAGCAGGAAGCTGGATCAGAAGCAGACTTGATCTAGGCACTCCTATATGGGATGCAGTGTCCCAAGTAGAGTCTTAACATGTTGTGCCACAACGCCTTCCCAAACCATTTAAGTATTTTAATAATCACATACTTATTTTAATGTCTATTATTAAAATATGACAAATGGATCAAGCCAATTTGGTAAAGATATAATGTTTCAAGGTGAAATAAATTTGTTTTTTTTTAAACACTGAGTTTAAAGGAAAATAGGAAGTAAATATTAGCACAGGCAGTGCACAGAGGGGACCAGGGGGCTGTGAACTTGGTGTTGCTCAGTGTTCATTGAGCGTCTACTCTGTGTGTGAGCGTTCTGAGGCAATGGTCAGCTGTTTCTGCGAAGGGCTGGACAGTAGATGCTTAGGTTTTGCAGGCCACACCTCCTCTATCACAATGACTCAGTTCTTTCTTGGCAGCATGAAAGTAGCCATAAGTGACATGTAAATGAACACATGTAAAATGTGTTTCGAAACTTTGATTTGCAAAAACGGATGGTGGGCCACAGTTTGCTGATTGTTCTATGGGTTAATATGTCCGGTTTGGGTCCTGTGCAGGTTAAAGAAAAGAATAAGAATCTTACCACATTCCAATGAGGAAACTGGGGCTTGGAGAGGGGTAGGAACTTCAGGCTCCACGGCTTGAAAGTGGTACATCTGAGGTTGGAACCTGGGCTCCTGGCTCCAGCTGTGAGCTCTTCTGGCAACTGGTGAGGCTCATGGGTCCATTCTCAGAATGTTTTAAAATCTGTAGACAAAGCACAAAGGATTCCAAAGGAAGCCAGTTGTATGGGAAAAAAAGTGTTCCTCAAAATATATACACACATTATGTGCTGATGCTTTTTTCCCCCCAAAGATTTATTTTATTTTATTTGAAAGGCAGAGCGACAGAGATACAGGGAGAGATAGAGATCTTCCTTCTGTTGGTTGAGTCCCCAAATAGTAGTGATGGTCGGGGCTGGGCCTGGAACTCCATCTGGGTTTCTCACATGGGTGGCAGGGGCCCAAATACTCAGTCCATCTCAGCTGCTTTCCCAGGCACAGTAGCAGGGAGCTGGATCGGAAGTGCAGCACTGGTGACTAGAACCAGTCTGGGATGTTGGTATCGCAGGTTGCAGCTTAACCCTTTGCTTAACCCTCCTTGAACACACTCAGTAAAGGAACTTAGCGGCAGGTGTAGTGACGTCTGCAACTTTGAGGACATGTTGAATGTCGGCAGGATTTCAGCTCTGCAACAAGTGTGACGGGTTATGAAAGCGTCTGTGATTTCCACCTGTGACAGACTTAATGCTCCTCCATCATCGTTGTGCCTCAGTGCCTGCCTTCACTGCCCAGTGTCAGTTCTAGGGTACGGCAAGTGAAGATGCAGCTTTTCCACAATATTCACTGACACGCTACATTCTTTTTTTTAAATTTTTAATTTAATTTTATTTTTTTGACAGGCAGAGTGGACAGTGAGAGAGAGAGACAGAGAGAAAGGTCTTCCTTTTGCCATTGGTTCACCCTCCAATGGCCTCCAATGGCCGCCGTGGCCGGCGCGCTGCGGCCAGTGCACCACGCTGATCCGAAGCCAGGAGCCAGGTGCTTCTCCTGGTCTCCCATGCGGGAGCAGGGCCCAAGCACTTGGGCCATCCTCCACTGCACTCCCTGGCCACAGCAGAGAGCTGGCCTGGAAGAGGGGCAACCGGGACAGAATCCGGCGCCCCGACCGGGACTAGAACCTGGTGTGCCGGCGCCGCAAGGTGGAGGATTAGCCTAGTAAGCCACGGCGCCGGCCTACATTCTCTCTTAAGGCCTCTACTTGGGAACCCTAAGTGCACTTTTAGCTACTACACTGTTCAGACACTCACAGTGAATGATGGAAGTTGTCAGCATTCCAGGGTTCTGTGGTCCAAAGGACCCTTTCACCACCTACCTGTATCTCTCTCCTTCCTGTGTTTCCATATCTTCTAGGTATTGGGTGCTCTGCTGTGCTTGTGGTTGGGGTCTCATGTACTTTCCTGGCTCAGTCTTGCATGTGTATTAGACTCAGCTACCTGGGTTCCACTTGGACCAATTAAATCAGATTCAAGATAGAAATGCAGGAATCAGTACTTTAAAAAAGCACTGGGGCCGGTGCTGTGGCGCAGTGGGTAAAACTGCCACCTGCAGCGCCGGCATCCCATATTGGTGCTGGTTCAAGTCCCAGCTGCTCCACTGCTGATCCAGCTCTCTGCTATGGCCTGGGAAAGCAGTAGAAGACAGCCCAAGTCTTTGGGCCCATGTACCTGAATGCAAGGCCTAGAAGAAGCTCCTGGCTCCTGGCTCCTGGCTTCAGATCAGCTCAGCTCTGGCCGTTGCGGCCATCTGGGGAATGAACCAGTGGATGGAAGACCTCTCTCTCTCTCTCTCTGCCTCTACCTCTCTGTAACTCTGCCTTTCAAATAAATAAATAAATCTTAAAAAAAAAAAAAAAAGCCCCAAAGGCCGTGCAGCCAGAGTTCAGAACCCGGGGCTTGGAGGAAGGGCAGGCACACAAGCATTTTTCGTGAATCACAGTTCAGTTCGAGATGACCTGGGAGCACACAGTGGAGGGGATGGGGGATGTGATTCGAAGTTGGAAGTTGGAGGGGGTCAGAGAAGACTTCATTATGGAGGTCATTGAGCTTGCCTTTGAGGAAGGAGAAGGGCAGGAACAGTCGCAGTGTATCTGGAGAGTGCCGTGGTGGGTGGATCAGGCAAAAGCCTTGACTTTGTTCTGCAGGTAGGTGATGGAACGTTCTAGAAGCTTCTATACAGCAGCATAGCATTCAACAGGCATCCCGAATGTCCCCACAGGTGCACTGCGTGGTTCCTCTCAGGGTTTCCAAATTGGGAGATGGTTCTCAGGGTGACGTTAGCGCCCTTCCTTCCTTTAGGACCTGAAGGACGTTGTTATCGACTTGGGGGAGATTCGGGAGCAAGCCTTGCAGAGCCCCGGCGTGAACCGCAGCCTGCTTCTCATCACGCTGGAGAGGTGCTTCCAGGTGCTGAACCCCCTGGAGTGCGTGCAGATCCTGGCAAAGGTGCTCAGGGGGTCCCCGGGGAGCTTGCTGCAGCCGGACATCGCAGAGCGGCTGCCGCGAGGCCTGCGCGAGGACGCCTTTAAGAACCTGTGAGTGCTTCCTCCCTCCTCCCTCACTGCACACACCGTCCCCCAGGGGGCGCTGCGGGAGCTCCAGCGGGAGACCCCTCGCACAGGGGAGACAGGCAGGCTGGGGTTCCTGAGCGAGTTCTGTAGCAAAAACTTAGGATCCGTTGCATCAAGGGACGGTTAGATTGGCCGGCGCCGCAGCTCACTAGGCTAATCCTCCGCCTGTGGCGCCAGCACCCCAGGTTCTAGTCCCGGTTGGGGCGCTGGATTCTGTCCCGGTTGCTCCTCTTCCAAGCCAGCTCTCTGCTGTGGCCAGGGAGTGCAGTGGAGGATGGCCCAAGTACTTGGGTCCTGCACCCCATGGGAGACCAGGAGAAGCACCTGGCTCCTGCCTTCGGATCGGTGCAGCGCACCGGCCATAGCAGCCATTTGGGGGATGAACCAACGGAAAAGGAAGACCTTTCTCTCTGTCTCTCTCTCTCCCTGTCTAACTCTGCCTGTCGAACAAAAAAAAATATATAGTACTATGGGGACGGTTGGATTAAAATTGACTCCCAAATTTCAGCCATTCTGGTACCATCGTAATGATTTATTTATTTTTTTTTTACCATTATCTTATTACAACCTGCACTGTGATTTACTTTATGCTTTTCTTTATAGCAACTCATTCTGTTTACTAAGATACTTACTGTCTAAAAATGATTTAATTTATTAGAGAGAGAGAGAGAATATCTCCCACTGGTTCACTCTCCAATGCCTACACAGCAAGGGCTGGGCCAGGCCAAAGATAGGATCCCGGAACTCCATCTAGGTCTCCCCCATGGGTGGCAGTGACCCAGTCATGTGAGCCATCACCTGCTGCCTCCCAGGGTGCACATTAGCAGGAAGCTGGATTGGAAGTGAGGGGGGAGCTCCTGGCTGGTGGCTTCAGCCGGGACCAGCCCCTGCAGTTGCAGGGATCTGGGGAGTGCACCAGTGAATGAAATATGGATCTCTAGCTTTCAAACAAATAAGCTGGGAACAGAAAAAAGAAAAGGAAGGAAAACAGTGACCAGAAGCCACGCAGGTGCGGATCTCAAGTGCGGATCTCAAGCTCTGGGACTTCGGGGCGGCCAGAGCCGTGAGCCAGCTGCGCTGCTATTCTTTGTAAATTACCTGGTCCCAGGATTTGTGTGATAGCAACAGAAAATGGAGTCAGACAGGCACGAATCCCATTCACAAGGGCTCTACCTGTATGATTCAATCAATCCCCACCTGCCAAGGACGTCACCTCAGTGTATTAGGATTCCAGCACAGGCCGGTGCCGCGGCTCACTAGGCTAATCCTCTGCCTTGTGGCGCCGGCACACCAGGTTCTATTCCCGGTCAGGGCGCCGGATTCTGTCCCGGTTGCTCCTCTTCCAGGCCAGCTCTCTGCTGTGGCCAGGGAGTGCAGTGGAGGATGGCCCAAGTGCTTGGGCCCTGCACCCCATGGGAGACCGGGATAAGTACCTGGCTCCTGGCTTCGGATCAGCGCGGTGCCCCGGCCGCAGCCCACTGGCCGCGGCGGCCATTGGAGGGTGAACCAACGGCAAAGGAAGACCTTTCTTTCTGTCTCCTCTCTCTCACTGTCCACTCTGCCTGTCAAATAAATAAATAAATAAATAAAGGATTCCAGCACAAGAGTTTTGGGAAGACACACATACTCAGTGCACAGCACCAAGGCTCTGAGCCTGGGGCCTCCTTGCTGAAAAAAGGAGCTGGGTGTGGGTTCAAGACGCAGCGGCACCCAACTGAGCCTGCCTCCTGGAGGGACGGCAGAGGGATGGGTAGAGCACTGAAGTACCAGGACTTTGCTCCTTTTTTTTTTTCTTTTTAATTATTTGAGAGAGTGCGAGAGAGCTCTTCTGCCCACTGGTTCACTCCTTAAATGCCTGCAACTGTTGAGGCTGGGGGCTTAAGCCAGGAGCTGGGTGCTCCATCTAAGTCTCCCACCAAGGTAGCAGGAACCAAACTACCTGGGCTGTCATTTGCTACCTCCCAGGTTCTGGATCAGCAGGGAGCTGCAATTGGAGGCTGGAGTCAGAGCTCTGGACTGAAGCCCAGGCACTCTGATAATGGTACTTGGCTGCCCTAACCCTTGGATGAGGAGTTGGACGGAGCGGGTGGAGGGATCGCCACTGGGTGAAGTTTTCTGTTCACTGCTTATCTGATTGCATCCACACCGTCTTGAGCCTAAAAGGGAATTCATAAAAGACAAAAGGTGGAAACAACCTAAACGTCCGTTAGGGGCTGAATGGATAAACGGAATATAGTCTATCCATATAATCTGGCCATAAAAAGGAATGAAGTACTGACACATGCTTCATTTTGCAGGAACCTAGAAAACACTGTGCCAAGTGAGAGAAGCCAGACACAGAGGCTACCTCATGTCTGACTCCATTTGTTTGAAATGTCCACAATGGGCCTATCTCCAGAGATAGAAAATAGGCTACTGGTTTTGAGGAATTGGGGAGACTGGGGGGGGGAGTTGTGGGGTGATAGCTAAGAGTATGGGGTTTCTTTCTAGGTGCTTAAAACATTCTAAAGTTGATTGTGATGACTGTTACATAGCTCTGAGAATACAATGAAAACTGTTGGATTTCTTTTTTTTTTTAAAGCTTTTATTTATTTATTTGAGAGTCAGAGTTACAGCCAGAGAGAGGGGGAGAGAGAGAAAGAGAGAGAGGTCTTCCATCCTCTGGTTCACTCCCTCAAATGGCCCCAATGGCCGGAGCTGAGCCAATCCGCAGCCAGAAGTCAGGCGCTTCTTCCAGTTCTCCCACATGTGTGAAGGTCCAAGCACTTGGGCCATTTTCCACTGCTTTCTCAGGCCATAAACAGAGAGCTGGATCGGAAGAGGAGCAGCCAGGATTCAAACCGGTGTCCATATGGGATGCTTGTGCCACAGGCAGAGGCTTAGCCTGCCCCTTGGATTTTATTCTTTAAATGGGTGAATTGTAGAGTGTATGAATTATATCTCAATAAAGCTGTTACCATTTTTTTTAAAAAAAGGACCAAGAGGTGAGGAAATATAAAACAGTATGTCCAGACCCTACTTTGGAAGAAGAAAAATGAGAAAAATAGCCACTTAGAACAAGGGGTGGGAAGGGTTTCAGCGGGAGACAGCTGTGGGCGTATCTGCTGTTTGCCTAACCGATGTCCCTGTTTGTGTCATCTAGCTCTGCAGTGTTCAAAGATCTCTATGACCAAATCTCGGCTCATTCCCAGAGAGCCCTCTACTCCTGGATGAGTGGGGTTTTACAGACATACTCCAACTGCACAGGTGAGCAGGTGCTGGGCGGGGGGGGGGGGGGAGGTAGGTCACCTTTGTGGGGAGGTCTGCCCTGGAAAGAGACACTTTTTGTCTCTGAAAACTGGGGTTGGAGTTCATTGTCTCTTATGTTTTTATTTTTTTTTTAACCACCTGCTTCCTTCACTTCCAAAAAGGGTTGATTGATGTGACCTATGAACTAAAACACATACCCCAGAGCAGGTGTTTGGTGTAGCGGTTAAGTCACTGCTTGGGGCACCCATATCCCATATTGAAACGCCTGGGTTCAAGTCCCAGCTTCTCTCTCCATTCCAGCTTCTGCTAACACAGACCTTGGGGGGCAGCAGGTGTTGGCTTAAGTGGCTGAGTCCCTGCCACCCACTTGAGTGACTCATATGGAGTTCCAGGCTCCTGGCTTCCTTCTGGCTCAGCCCTGGTGGTTGTGGGCACTTGGGGAGTGAACCAGTAGATTGGAGATATCGCTCTGTCATTTCTATCTCTCTGCCTTTCAAATAAATAAATAAATACATAATTTCAAAAACCACATACCCATTTCATCAAAGCACTTTTGACATATTGAAGTCTCTCAAATAAGTAGGCACCAGTATCTTACAATCAATGGTGTGGCCTAGATTCTTAGGCTTGTCTTAAATTTGCTGAGAAGCTTTAGATTAGAGTTCAAGTTCAAAATCCATATTAAAATATCTGCATCGAAGCAGGACAAGATGGTTTTATTAGAACATCTAGGCAATAAAGGGCAGGAATTTAGCTGTGAGCTCTCTAGCAACGAAAGCAGAAAGATGTCAGGATTCATTTATTTGACAGATGTCTGTTTTTTAACCCACTTATGTCGTTGAGTAGTCAAATTCATAGAGGCAGAAATTAGAATGATGGTGGGTTCCAGTTTTGCCAGGTGATAAGAGTTCTGGCGATGGATGGTGGCCATGGTTGTGTAACAGGGAGAACATACTTAATGCCACTGAACGACGCAATGAGAAGTGGGTAAGATGGGAAGTTTTATGTTTTGTGCATTTTACCACAGTTGAAAAAAAGAAAGCGATGGAAGAGAATGGCTCTGTAGATTAGTAATGCTAGCAATTTCTCAGATGGCATCGACTTCTTCAATGTTTAATGCCAGGAACATAAACTGAATAGACTTTTAAACACTTTTAAAAAAAGGCCATTGTGTGTCAACAGCTGAGAATATAGAGGGAAGAAAAGAGACAGTCTTTGCTCTCATGGATCTGTTGGTTTACTGAGAGAGAGGGAGAGGGTAGGATGGGGGGAGAGAGAATTTATACAATGGTAGCTGCTATGAAGAAAATAAATTTGATAAATGCCTTGGAAAGGGTCACTACTGTAGGCTAGACTAAAATATTTAGCTCTTGGCAAATGGCCACTATTAAATAATTTAGGCTTTGTGAGCCTAAAATCTCTGTGTCAATTCTTCAACTCTGAAGTCTCAGCCCAAAGCTGCCAGAGACAACAGATGAATAGACATGACTGTGTCCCAATACAACTTTACCTATGGCCACTGAAACTCAAAACTCAGATCATTTTCACATGTCACCAAATCTTCTTTTGATTTTTACTTTCAACAGTTTAAAAATATAAAAACCCTTCCTGGCTCACAGACCATATTAAAAACCAGGTAGTGGGCTGGGGTTGGCCCACAGGTTATGGTTTGCCAACACTTGAATGGAGAAATCAGGAGACCTGTCGAGCAGGTGACATTTGAATTAAGACCACAATGGGGAGAGGGAATCTGTCTGGGGAGGCTCTGGAGAGAGGGCATCCTAGGCACAAAGACCAGCATATGCAAAGGCCCTGAGGTGGGAATGAGCTTGGTGTATCAGGGAAGCATAAAGGAAGCCAGTGGGGTTAGAGTTTGGGGGGTGCCAATCAATCTTTTTCCAGGAATTGGAATTATTTTTTTAAAGATTTATTTCATTTATTTGGAAGACAGAGTTACACAGAGAGGTAGAGACAGAGAGAGGTCTTCCATCTGCTGCTTTACTCCCCAGTTGGCAGCAATGGCTGGAGCTGTGCCGATCCGAAGCCAGGAGCCAGGAGCTTCCTCCGGGTCTCCCACGTGAATGCAGGGGCCCAAGGAGTTGGGCCATCTTCTACTGCTTTCCCAGGCCATAGCAGAGAGCTGGATCAGAAGAGGAGCAGCCAGGACTAGAACCGGCGCCCATTTGGGATGGCGGTGCTTCAGGCCAGGGCGTTAACCCGCTGCACCACAGTGCTGGTCCCAGGAATTGGAATTAAGTTGAGATTTGTGTATCAGGAATGTTAAACAATGTAATGAGTGTGGGGCATCATTTCTTCCTGTCTGATCAGGGGAATTCTGCCTGCAATAGCTGGGCCAGATGGAAGTAAAGAGACTGGAACTCATCTTATGAGTCTCACACAGGTGGCTGGGACCCTGCTGCTTAAGCCATCGCCTGCTGCCTCCCAGGATCTGCATTAGCAGGAAGCTAGAACGGAGAGGGGAGCCGGGACTCAAACCCAGGCAGTTCAGTGTGGGATGCGGGTGTCCCAGGCAGTAGCTTAACCTCTCCGCCAGTGCCTGCCCCAGGAATCTGAACCTCACACTGTGTAACCCTGAGAAAGTCACTTGGCTTCTACACTTGGCTGTGTCTTTATTGGCAGAGTTTAATTCCTTTTCAACAGAAGTGAATGAAAATGCACTATGTTCGGATTTCTTTAAAGTTGTATTTTATTTATTTGAAAGAGTTACAGAGAGAGAGACAGAGACAGAGACAGAGAGACAGACAGGTCTTCTATCTGCTGAGTCACTCCCCAATTAGCTGAAACGGCTGCAGCTGAGCCCATCCGAAGCTAGGAGCCAGGAGCCAGGAGCTTCCTCCAAGTCTCCCACATGGGTGCAGGTGCCCAAGCACTTGGGACAACCTCAGCTGCTTTCCCAGGTGCATTAGCAGGGAGCTGGATCAGAAGTGGGGCAGCCAGAACTCCGAACCGGCACCCATATAGGATGTTGGCACTGCAGGCTGGGGCTTTAACCTGCTGTGCCAGAGCGCTGGCCACTCTATTTGGATCTTTAAAGATTTATTTTTTTCATGAATGTCCCTTGAGGTAATGTGGAAATACTTTGTTAAAAATGTCCCAAGCCTTGGGACCATTGCTTTGCAGAAATATAGTCCATGCTCAATAAGTAGTTAAAAAAAATGAACATCTCGGAGCAGGTGTTTGGCATGGTGGTTAAGCCGCTAGTTTGGATGCCCATATCCCATATCAGAGTGCCTGGTTTCGAGTCCTGGCTCCACTTCAGATTTCAGCTTCCTGTTAATGTGCATCCTGGGAGACAGCAGGTCAGTGCTCGGATACTTAGGTCCTTGGCACCCACACAGGAAGCCTCGTTGAGTTCCTGGCATGGCTCAGCCCTGGCTGTTCTGGGCAGCTGGGTAGTAAACCAGTAGATGGAAGACCTCTGTAGCTTTCTCTCTGTCTCTCAACTAAATAAAAATAAAAAAATAAAATTTTTAAAGTGAACAATCCTTGTTGGTTCTTGGTGAATTTTTTAATTCCTCCCCTTGAATTTTGTAGCTCTCAAGCCATGTTTTCCTCCAATAGCCAAGTTGAATGTTGCGAGTGCCCATCCAGGCGCTTAGCCCTGCCTCTCTGATTCCTGAGGCTGGAGGCACTCAGGTGTTCCTGTGAAGCAGGCCACCCAATAGCTGTGGTCCCCATCTTGTTGGCACCAGTCATCGCCTGCGGTTTCTGGAAACCGAATCACCGCACCCTGCAAATGCATCCATTTAGCTTCATCTCCCCCAGTGCCACCAGCACAACGTCGTATGTACACGTCTTTTTCTGAAGGGCTGGGGGCAGTGGTGGCCAGCTCTTGCTCAGAGAAACTTGAATTTGGATCCTTCTTACAAGTCCCACTGACATTTCACTGACGGAGAATTGTAAAGACCAGAGCAGAGCGACAAGGAGGGCCCTCTGGGAATCCAGAGTGGAGAGCAGTTTCTTCTGGCTCAGTAATCTGTCATATTCTTGAAGGTAGGAGCTGGATGCAGAAGGTCAAGGCCCTTAAGGCATTCTAAGTGGTCAACGGGGCCCATGGAGGCAAAGATTTGGAGAATGTCGAAGGTTCATCTGGGGAAGTTCAAGTACTTTGGTTTAGTTCCAGGTAGGATAACATGGTGATAATGAGTAAAGATGGTATTCATTATTAGTGCCAGTAAGAAAAGAAAGTCAAACGTATTTCAAGTGGCCAAATCACTTTGTAACTAGTTGAACTAAAAAAAAAACTCTATATTTTGTGGTTTTAGATATTAAAAAGTAATCTGCATTTCTAGCAAATTCTCAAGCACTGCTGATATTGCTCGTCCAGGAACCATACCGTTGAGTAACAAAGTCTCATATGGCAGTGGAGAGGGCACCTGTGATCACTGCCCAGGTATAGCATAGCGACTCACAGGGAGGCTCCTAATAAATGGTTATAGAATGAATTAATACAAGAAAGAGGTCCTGATTTGAAAGGTGCTTGTTTACTATCCCATTCCAGTATCAAGGTTTTTCATTTACTTAATTACTTTATTTATTTATTTATTTTTTGACAGGCAGAGTTAGACAGGGAGAGAGAGAGACAGAGAGAAAGCTCTTCCTTCCATTGGTTCACCCCCCAAATGGCTGCCACGGCCGGCACGCTGCACCGATCCTAAGCCAGGAGCCAGGTGCTTCTCCTGGTCTCCCATGCACTTGGGCCATCCTCCACTGCCTTCCCGGGCCACAGCAGAGAGCTGGCCTGGAAGAGGAGCAACCGGGACAGAATCCAGCACCCCAACCGAGACTAGAACCTGGGGTGCTGGCACCGCAGGCGGAGGATTAGCCTAGTGAGCCGTGGCACCAGCCCATTTATTTAATTACTAATCTGTTATTTTTTTTTTTAGATGACTCTGTTTCATGGGTCAGTGCAGAAAACTTATGGATTTTGGGCAGATACATGGTTCACCTGTCATTTGAAGAAATCACGAGAATTAGTCCTATAGAAGTAAGTTGGAGAAATATATTTATATGTTCCTGTTACTAGTACATTTAGAGTAAGGTGTATTCTAGATTTCCAGCATTCAGTCTGCCAGCCAAGGTGCCCTGGACATCGTACATCTGCCTCAGCCCAACATATCTTGAGCCTCTAAATAAAACTCTTGGAACAAGGCCTGAAGTGGTCAGTCAGAGGATTGCATCCTAGCGTAGAAGAGCTGAGAACAGAGAAAAGAGAATTGTGGGCAGCCCAGAAAGCTCTGATGTGAACAAACATGATATAAAGGGAAGGTTGGCTGAGAACCCAACATCGTTTAAGGGCATTTTTGTACTCAAGAAAGACCAAGGATAATGGCTATCAAATTTCTGGTACTTGGAAGCATGGAGCCAGAACAAAAGCAGCGTGGATTAATAGCTACTTCTTTTTTTAGCTATTCTATCAATAGCTACTTCAGCACCAACAATGATTAGATTTTAACTCTAGAGTTTACAATGGAGAAATGTGCATGGTCTAAGGTTTACTTGGTTTGTTAGTCAACCTGTTTCTTTCCTTCTCCTGATGTTGACCCAATGACATGAGATTCCTTCTGAAATGCCAACCTAGAGGCATCCACCAAGAGCTTGGGGCTTGCCCTCAACTTTTCAAAAGTCATACGAGGGTACTTCCAAATGTTCTCAGACAGGAACTGGCCCCCAGTTAAGTTGCCACCTGCATTGCCAGCATCCCAAATCAGAGAGCCAGTTCAAACCCTGGTTCCTCCCATTCTGATCCAGCTCCCTGCTACTGTGCCTGAGAATGCAGCGAGAGGTGGCCCAAAATCTCTGGGCCCCTTCACCCATGTGGGAGACCCAGATGGAGTTCCTCATTCCTGGCTTTGGCTTGGCCCAGTTTGAGCTGTTGTGGCCATTTGGGAGTGAACCAGCAGATAAAAGATTTTCTTTTCTCTGTTTCTCCCTTTCTGCCACTCTCTGTTTTTCAAATGAATGAATGAATGAAGAAATAAAAATAAATCTTTAATAAAAGTTCTTGAGAAAATGAAAAGATAAAAATTTTATTTGGGTGCAAAAATTTTTTAAATCCATGTACAGCATTTTTTTTTTCACAATAAGCATTTTCCGCAAACTTTTTTTGAAGACCCCTTGTATCTATAGACTTCAAAATTTGGGCACTAAAATAAGCTTATCTGTTTTTTAAAAATATGGTTATCTTCTTTCTTTAAAAAAAGACTTAATTATGTATTTGAAAGGCAGAGTTGGCTGGAGCTGCGGCTCAATAGGCTAATCCTCTGCCTGCGGCGCCGGCACCCCGGGTTCTAGTCCCGGTCGGGGTGCTGGATTCTGTCCCGGTTGCTCCTCTTCCAGGCCAGCTCTTTGCTATGGCCCGGGAGTGCAGTGGAGGATGGCCCAAGTGCTTGGGCCCTGCACCCACATGGGAGACCAGGAGAAGCACCTGGCTCCTGGCTTCAGATCAGCGCGATGCGCCGGCTGCAGCATGTCGGCCACGGCGGCCATTGGAGGGTGAACCAACAGCAAAAAGGAAGACCTTTCTCTCTCTCTCACTATCTACTCTAAAAAAAAAAAAAAAAAAAGAGAGAGAGAGAGATCTTCCATCTACTGCTTTACTCTCCAAATGGTCACAATGGCTGGAGTTGGGCCAGTCTGAAGCCAGGAGCCAGGAGCTTCTTCCAGGAATTGATTTTTCTGTGAATTTTTTGAAGTACCCTGGTATGAGTCCTTTCTCCTGGCCAGGGAAAGGTGTTTGTCTCAGACGATTGCCTCTTTCAAGGACCAGTCGACCCACTAAGTTCTGGTTAGTATAAAACTAAGAGGCAGAACTAGCTCCTTTATTTTACCCAGGGAGCTGGGAGTATTTCAAATATCTTCCAGTGTTTCTAACCCTCTGTCCTGGGATTAACCCTGTATTTACTCTGCCAATGTTGAGTGATGTTCAGAAGTAGACAGAGGTTAGAAGTGGAGAATGCTGGGTCCCTGGGGGGAATTCCTAAGATCTAGCATCCGTTTGTAATTTTTCATCATCTAACAATGTAGAGAAGAGAGGGGAAGCCACAGGGTGCCAATACCAAGAGGGAACTTTGTGTGGCTAAGGATACAACCTACAGAAGAGAGATGACTTTATGAGCTCCTGGAAGCACAGTGTTCAATAGTGCATCGAAAGAACAGAATGCAAAGTCTGTTAGAAATACAAGGGCAGATGGGTCCAGGCCTCACAGAAGATGTCAATGCGACACTTCTGGGCATGCAGGCAAAAAGGGACTAAGAATATAGAGAAACTGGTTAGCATAGATAATAAAGTTGGATGTAGATGCCAGGCTTTGTGTCTTCCAGAGAGCATACACTCTTCTCATGCCTGATGGCCGTGCATAAACTCACTCATCTCTTCAAAAATAATTCTGATTGCTCAAAGCAGAAAATTCGTGCACCACATTCTCTGACCTCAGTCCAACAAGTCTGGAAGGAAATGTGCATAGATTAGATTCCAAGGAGCTCAACTTGGGGAGTGTTAAAAAAGCAATACTCGGCTAAATGGCCATCTGGTTGAAGACCACCAAGAGACAGTGACAATGACAGTTGGTGGCACATCCCATTGTGGGGGGTGGGCCACAGCACAGACCACCATGATGGGGCCACACCGGGCCACTTCTGCCTCTTCCCCACCAGATCGGGCTGTTTATCAGCTATGACAACGCCACGAAGCAGCTGGACACAGTCTATGACATCACGCCCCAGCTGGCCCAAGCGTTTTTGGGAAGGATCGGCTCGTCCAGCTTTGACATGAGGAATACCTCTACCATCCACAGGCAAGGGGTGTGGGCTCCGGGGCACTCCCAAGAGGCAATCAGAACACCAGCTTCCTCTGAGGTGCAAAAGACCTTGGGAGGGAAGGGAGATGGCTGGGCTCCTTCTGTGAACAGACCCACATCACCGTTGGCAGGGGTCTTGAAAGGGGGCATCCCCCGGTACAGAACCTTAACAGATGCTAATTCCAGCTCCCAGCATGCAGCATTTTAAATCCTCAGGATTGGGTCTCTTCCAAGGTGAAAGAGTAATTTCCATTCGATTGAGGCAAGTGTTGGCAAGTGCTTTTTCTGGTGAAAAAAAAAAAATTGAAATCTGTGCTTAGTAGTTTCATAATGTGCATTTTCCACAGGCTTTTTTGGAAGTGCCCTAATATGTGTGGGCTTCAATTATTTTTTTTTTTTTGCATTAGAAGAAACTTATCTTTTAATTCCATTTTCCACAAACTTTTTAAAAGAAAGATTTATTTATTTATTTGTTTGAAAGGCAGAGTTACAGAGAGGCAGAGGTAGAGAGAGAGGTCTTCCATTTGCTGGTTCACTCCCCAGATGGCCATGATGGCTGGAGCTGATTGGATCCAAAGCCAGGAGCCAGGAGCTTCTTCCGGGTCTCCTATGTGGGGGCAGGAGCCCAAGGAGTCCACTGCTTTCCCAAGCACATTAGCAGGGGGCTGGATCTGCCATAGCAGAGAGCTGGATAGGAAGCGGAGCAGCCAGGACTCAAACCAGTGCCCATATGAGCTACTGGCACTGCAGGCAGTGGCTTTACCTGCTACACCACAGCGCTGGCTCCTCCATGAACTTTTTGAAGTAAACCGTTACATCTTGGGGGCGTCAGGCAGGGTTTAAATGGCAGAGGGAGGGAGTGCACAGTGCAGGAGGGGAGCACTGTTCAGCCATCTTCTCTCCGGTCTCACACTGCTCCTGCGGGTGGCATCACCATAGCACTCTGAGTATTTTCAAACCTTGAGGGAGTGCACTCACAGAAAGTGATCACACCTCCTTCTCCTATTCCTAGTGGTTTTCTTCCCTGAGCATGGCCCCTGGTTTTCTACAGAGTGAGCCTTTTGGAGTTTAATCCTGGCTCTGCTTCTTAACAACATGTGAGACCTTGGCTATGTCACATCTCCTCTCTGAGCCTCTTTTTTTCCATCTGTAAAATGGGAGGTAAGAACCTGCCTGCCTCATGGAGGTGGAGTTAGCACACCCGGCACGCAGGAAGTGCTCAGGAACTGTCCTTTTCTTTTATAATTCATTTTTAATTAAAAATAACAATCGTACGTATCCATGGATGTCTTCATCATGGAATGGCTAAATCAGGCTGGTTCCCAAATGCATGACCTCACTTACCATTTCTTTTCGTGGTGAGAACAGATACAATCCAGTCTCGTAGTAGCGATTTTTCAAGTATGTGATAGCATTTACTGTTGTCACTATGTTGGGAGATGGATCTCCACTCATTCTTCCTGTCTAAACGGAACTGTGACAAACGTGGCTCCAGCCGGGCCTCTGGGGACCGCCATTCTACTCTTGTTCTGTGTGCTCCTTGTTTTTGGCTTCCACGTGTCCTTGAAGTCCCGCGGTAGTTATGTGCCCGGCTTATTTCACTTAGCGTGATGTCCCCCTAGTTCAGTCGAGCCATCACAAATGACGGGATTTCCTCCTCCTCCTTCTGTTTGAAGCTGATGCTGTGAATAGCATCCCACTGCACGTCCCACCACGGTTTCTCCCTCCGTTCACGGACACCGCTCTTGTGAACACGTGTTTATTAACACTCAGCTTTCACTTCTCCTGCGTGCTTTCCTCTGCGTTAAGCAGATGTTTGTCTTTAGCATCAGACCCACCTTCAAATCCTCTCCCTGCCCTGGACATGTCAGGCTGTGTCGCGATGCCTTTCTGACAGGGTGGAGCTTGGCCGACAGCGGTCAGCCTCCTGCTCCTGGTCCAGCCATCCTGCATCCGATAGTCTTCGTGCTAATTCCAAGAACATCATTCGCAGATGGGCACTCAGCATCCACCAGGAATGATGTGAATCAGCTGTCCTGCCTCTGACAATTTGAATTTCACAGCCGTCATTCTCTCACTGATCACGTTCATCAGGGTATGCTGTGATGAACGAAGCAAACCTCCCATTTATTAAGGCTCACGGAACAACTGGGTGCAGCAGCCTTGCAGGGACGCTAATTAGTTTCCGGCAGGTCACACATCTCATAGAACTGGACTTCAAATGCCAGTTGCCTGAATCCATGCTCTTAACCACTAGGTGTACTTGTATTGCTCCCAACTAGAACAAGGTTCAAATCCCATCTCTGCCTCCTGTGTTTTTTCTCCTTCTGGAAGGCATCCTCGAAATACGGTGGAAAATGAGTAGTTTGCTGCAGCTGACCCAACACCCTCCTTTCCTATGCCTGGTCCATGGTCCAGGAGGAGGGGTGGCATAGTTACCCTGGGCAAGTCACTTGATCTCACCGAGTCTCAGTTTGCCCATCTGTGAAATGGGGCTAATGAGCGCCTCTATCTTGTAAGGCTGTGGTAAGGCCAACGTGTAATACTGGGTAAGTGGTGTATTAGGACCATGGCACCGTTGGTTTGGCCTGGGAAGTGGGTGTGGTTTGCCCCCCCACCCCGAGCCCCTCACCAGCACCCCTGGTTTTCTCACACAGGCTGGGGCTGCTGGTTTGTTTCTATGATGACCTGGAGTCGCTGGACGCTGCCATGGCCCAAGTCCTCCTTTACCAGATGATCAAGTGCAGCCGCCTGAGGGGCTTCCAGGCTGGTGTTCAGCAGGTACGGACGGAGTGCGAGGCCTCACGATCCAGAGAAGCGGGGGAGCACAGCTTGGCTTGGCTTTCCAGAGGGGACACGTGGCGTTAGCCAGGACCTAAACCCCGCCGCAGCAGAGGGGGTCTCAAATACTGGGACAAATGCAGCCTGGGAAGAAAAAAAAATAATAATAATAAATAAAAGCACAGGAAAAAACCCTGGACAGATCAAAACTCACAGCAGCTCTTCTGATGCTGAGTCGGGAGGTGTGCGGTGAGGCCCGAGGCTCTGCCCGTCCAGCCGGCTGCCGCGCGGGCTGCTGAGCTGGCTCTGTGTCCCTGACGGGCCCTGCCAGCTTCCTGTCCCAGAGAGCCGGATGTCATCAGTCTGGGCGTGGCCTGGGCATTCCACGTTGCTGATGCTTTCAGGGGGAACCCAATGCAGCCAGGATGGAGAGCCCCCGACTGGGGGTATTCACTGGGTGCCCAGACCGGGCAGCTGGAGAAATTAGCAAACGCAGACTGTGTCTTGCTGCCCCCCACTTCCACCTCTCTCTTCTTTCTTCTAGTCAAGTCCCAGTTCTGCTCCCCTTCCCTTCACTTCTTTTGGTCCTTTTCAGTTAAAAAAAAGAAGTTTTTTATGGGGCTGGAATAGTGGTGCAGGGGGTTAAGCCACAGTGTGGGATTTCAGCATCCCTATATGAACGCTGCTTCGAGACCCAGCTGCTCCACTTCTGATCCTGGTCTGTGCTAATGCACCTGGGAAAGCAGCAGAGGATGGCCCAAGTGCTTGGGTCCCTGCCACCCATATGGGAGAACTGAGTGGAGTTCCAGGCTCCTGGCTTTGGCCTGGCCCAGCCCTAGCAGTTGTGGCCATTTGGGGAGTGAACCAGTGGATAAAAAAAATCTCTGTTTCTCCTTCTCTCTGTAACTCTGCCTTATAAATAAATAAATAAATCTTTTTAAAAATAAACTATTTATTTGAGAGGGAAGGAGAGAGCAAGGGAGAGAAAAGATATTGCCTATTTGCTGGTTCACTCCTTAAATGTTCACAGGGGCCCCTGTCTGGGCCAAAGCCAGAAGCTAGGATCCGGTCCAGGTCTCCCACATGGTGGGCAGTAGCTCTACCACTGAGCCAACCCTGCTGCCTCCCAGGGTCTGCAATAGCAGGAAGCTGGAGTCGGCACCCAGAGCCGGGTGTAGTACCCAGGTACTCTGATGTGAGGTGTGGGTGTCTTAGCCAGCATCTTAACTGCTAGGCCTAATGCCCACCCCCTGTTCATTTTTTTTTTTTTTAATGAAAAGGTGATGCCGGAACATTTTTGATAAATGCATCGACAGTTCCACACTGTCTCCCATGCATCACCAACTACAAACTCCCCAACCACATTTGACATCGCAGTCACTCATCTTGCTCAATGCATGTTTTTGCTTTTAAGGGGAAGAATCTTTCCCAAACAAGCTCAAACAAAAATAAAGAAAAGAAATGCATTTTAAAGCCACAGGGGTAGCTGCGGCAGCCAGGGTCAAAATTTGAGGGAACCCTTTGGGGTTCCTCTAGCCCAGGAGTTCTTGAATCATGGGAATCACTGAGGGTGGGGGGGGGAAACACTGGTTAAAATGCAGATTGTCAGGCACTGTGGCTCGAGTCTCTGGTTTGGCAGATCTGGAATGGGGCCCGAGAGCCTGCATTTCTGACGAGCTCCCAGGTGCAGCTGCTGGCCGAGAGCCCACTCCCAGGTGCAGCCCACTGCTTTGTCTTACAGAGTGGAGACTGGGCTCTGGGGAACCGGCCAGTGGCTAAGTTTTTAAAGAACCCGAGGCCTACAGCCGGCTCTTCTGCTTCTCTCTGCTGCCCCCCAGTGGCTGTTTCAATATGACCTGCAACAATTGCGTGCTCCTCTGAATACATTGTTCTTACAAATTCAGGTGTTAGTGGTCAGCTTCCAGCCTTAGGACCTTCTGAACTATTAACTCTCTGAGATCGGCGCCCCTGGCCCATTCCTGGGTGGGAGCGGAAGTCACCCCACTCAGTTATCTTAGAAGGATGCAGCCGTGGTCACGACAGGGCTCGGGGTGGATGGGCGGTAAGAAGACGGTGTAATGAGATCAGAAATTCTGCCGCTCCTGGGAAAAGATCAAGGCTCTCAGTTTAAAGACAACAGAACATTCTCATTAATACACCATGTATTTTTAAAAGAGGCTCCCTCATCAATTTAACATTGATTCTGAAACATGTAATACAGTCTAATGCAAGGCGTATTCATAATGCACAGAAATCTTTTTCCTTAAGTCAAAGAAATAAAGAGAATTATTCATCAATTAGGATTTACGGCCATCTCTTAGTTCCCAGTTTTATCACATTCAATAATCTTTAAAAACTACACAAAACTACTGTATTAGAACAAAACATGCACCAGCCTCATTTTTTTTTTTTTAATACAGAGGTCACATGATAGGAGGCAGGCTTATCACCTTTCTTACTGGAAGCAATTGGGAAACACAGTTGCCTATCACTGGGCAGGCAAATTGTAATAACCTAATTATTAAAATAATCACAGAAATATGCCAACATGGAGAAGACATCATTTTAAGTGAAAAATACAGAACAGAAAATTGCGCTTCCATTCACATGACAACTGTAGAAATTACATACCGTCTCTAGGCACAAGAAGTCTTAGAAGCAGACCCACTCAATTGCTAATCATAGTTATTTTTATGAGGTAGGATTTTTCAAGAGACTTTCATTTTCTTGTACTGTTGAAAATTATTTTTACAGAGATTATATATTATCATCGAAAGAGCCCCTGGATATTTCACAAAAGAAAAAAACGGCCATAGATATGGATATAGAGTTCAAGGTCACAAAAGGAGAGGGAGCTACGGGGAGTTAGAAGGGAGGGGAGTTAGAAGGGGGCAGTGTCTCCTCGTGCTGTGCTTTCGGGGGTGGAGATTGATGACAGATTAAGATTTAAATGAAGCCCCAAGTGGATTCTCAGCCAAGGCCAGAGGAGGGGAGTGGGGTGGGGGTTCCTCTCCCTCCTCCAGGGGCTTTGGGGGGGCAGTGTGGGGGAGGCTGCCGTGGAGTCCTACTTCCCCGGGTTTAGTTGGAGGCAGCCAGCGCCCTGCCTCCTCTCAGCGCTCGTGCCGGTTTGCTCTGCTTCCAGCTCAAAGCCGACCTTCTGGACATTGCCACGGACAACCAGACCCTCAACGAGACCCTGGGCTCTTTGTCGGATGCGGTGGTGGGCCTGACCCACAGGCAGCTGGAATCCCTGTCCCCTGAGGCCGTGCATGGCGCCATCTCTACCCTCAGTCAGGTCTCAGGCTGGGCCAAGAGCCAGGCGATCATCTTGTCCGCCAAATACCTGGCCCAGGAGAAGGTCAGTTGAAGCCTTTGGGTCTTCTGGCTTGGCCTGGGACCCGAGGCCCAGGGTGCTCAGGAACTCGGGTTGCCAGGACGCGGTGCCCTGGACGGGGTGGCTTCTACGACAGACATGTAGCTCTCTCAGTTCCGGAGGCTGGGAACCCCAAGGGCAAGTGACACCTGCACAGGAGGCAGATGTCATTCTGGTTCCTCTCCTGGTTCTCACAACCCCTGTGAGAGCCACCTCCCTGGGGCCGCTCACCCCATCCGTTGAATCAGGGCCCCGCCTAACCCTAATTTTCTCACAACCTCCTCCAACCCGTCACTGGGGTTCAGGGCTGCAAACGTTCAGCCTGTAAAAGCCAGTGTTACACCCATGGCACTCGATGGGCGAGCCGAGGGTCCTGGGGAGGACTGCCTGAATTCCTCTCCCTGCTGTGCTCTTTACTAGCTGTGCTCGACTTCACTTTGCCTCAGTCTGCCTATCTGTGAAATGGGGACGACAACAGCACCTATCCAACAGCGTTGCTGCAAAGATTGTAAACACGTTGGCCAGGCAGGTGGCACAATGGAGTGTGGGCTGTGTCAGCATTGACTCTCATGGGGCCAGAATTTTCTTTTTTTTTTTTTTTATTTTTTGATAGGCAGAGTGTGGACAGTGAGAGAGACAGAGAGAAAGGTCTTCCTTTGCCGTTGGTTCACCCTCCAATGGCCGCCGTGGCTGGCGCGCTGCGCTGATCTGATGGCAGGAGCCAGGTACTTCTCCTGGTCTCCCATGGGGTGCAGGGCCCAAGGACTTGGGCCATCCTCCACTGCACTCCCTGGCCACAGCAGAGAGCTGGCCTGGAAGAGGGGCAACCGGGACAGAATCCGGCATCCCAACTGGGACTAGAACCCGGTGTGCCGGCACCACAAGGCGGAGGATTAGCCTAGTGAGCCACGGCGCCGGCCCAGAATTTTCTTACTTGTTCCCAAGGCTGCTAGCACATCCCGTAGCCACAGGGTGATGCTGTTTTATTCCAATCTTGGCCCATAGGGAGAGACCTGTCAGGACAGAAGGTCCCATCTGGAGAGCACAGGGCCCCTGGTCCACACCCTAGCTGCTCCTGGGAGGGAAGTGGGCCTTACTTCTGGGAGAATGGCTTTCCCCGAGTCGGGGCTGGTGGAAAGGACCTCAGACCATGGAGACTGAGTTGTATGGCCATTTTGGTGCCCTGCTCTCTCAGCTCACACTCACAGCCACTTCTCAGGATGCAAACAGGTGCACGAGGAGGTAGTATCGGGACAGATACTGTCTCAGGCATTTGCCCAGCCCTCACTCTGTGCCAGGTTAATCACTTAACCTTCCCAGCAACCCCATGAGGTCAGCAGGGTCATGGTCTGCATTTTGGGTCATTCATGGGAGACACAGAGCATGTCAGAGAATCGCCCAGGCCACGTAAAAGAGACACAGATGGGATGAGCTCAGGGCATCTGTACCCCCTGCTGACCCTGTCCATCATCGTGCCAGGACCACGGGCCTCTCACTCGCATTTCCTGACTCGAGGCCAAGGCTAGCCCCTTCCGCCTGTCCCATGTAGCCTAGTGGTGACCTTATTTTGAAGGCTCCTTGTTATGGACTTGTTTGGGGCTACCCAAGTCTTGCTTGACATCTCTGTGAATTTGATTTTTGGGGGCTGAAGGAGCGGTGTCCCTGACAAAGTGATTAGTCTCTTCCCTAGCATAGAAGAGCCCCAGGGAACCACTCAGCTTGTCTGATGGCAGACCCCTGTCTCTGCTGTAGGAAACCATCGCACGTTTTTACCCCAGCAGAGGGGAAAAGCAGGTGTACGTTACGAGAGGACAGCCAGCGCCAGGGTGTTCATCCTCCAGGGTCAGATCTGTGTCCCGGAACATTTGTTTCAGCTCAAAGCATCCACTTGGAGAAGGATGAGCCTGGGGTGCTGCTGTGTCAGACTCCTGTCAGTGACGTAAATGACAAAGGTGGTGGCCTTGAGGCACTGCGAGGGCACAGGGCCTGGGAAAGCAGAGCCAGGACCCACCTGGAGGAGTGCTTGCCGCTCAGTTCCTGCCACTTTATACCAGGTGGGAATGCGGGCCCTGGACTGCTGGATGCTCAGATTACAAACAAAACACAACAGAAACTTAAACCTGGATTTTTTTTTAAATGGGAGTTCTTGCCGTACAAAAATTCAATGTAACAACCAAAAACGAATTTTAAATATTGGCTCTAGCTCAAAGGAAGCACAGACAAGCCCATTGCCTCACTGAGACTCAAGGAGCACTACCTTTGAAAAAAAAACAAAAACAACTTGGGGCCGGCGCTGTGGTGCAGTAGATTAAAGCCCCGGCCTGCAGCGCCGGTGTCCCATATGGGCTGCTCCACTTCCAATCCAGCTCCCTGCTAATGTGCCTGGGAAGCGGCAGAGGATGGCCCATGCTCTTGGGTCCCTGCACCCACATGGGAGACCCGGAAGAAGCTCCTGGCTCCTGGCTTCCGATCTGCTCAGCTCTGGCTGGTGCGGCCATTTGGGGAGTGAACAAGCAGACCTCTCTTTGCCTCTACCTCTCTCTGTAACTCCGTCTTTCAAATAAATAAATCTTAAAAAACAAAACAAAACTGTATTTAGTTGGAAGGGAGAAAGAGAGATTTCCTAAGAGAGATTTCCTATGTACTGGTCCATTCCCCAAATGCCCACAATGGTTGGAATTGGCCCACGCTGAAGCCAAGGGCCTGGAGCTCAATCCAGATCTCCCACGTGGGTGGCAGGGCCCACCTTCTTGAGCTGTCACAAGCAGGGAGCTGGAATCACGAGTGGAGCCAGTTATTGAGCCCAGGCACTCACACAGGGGTACAGGTGCCTTAACCTCTAGACCGAACACTTGCCCTGACGACTTTTAGATATTTTTAGGGTGGGTTAAGACAGCACGGTAATCCCACCAGCAGGGCACTCCCTGCGTGACTCGCGTTGGGTCTTTAACTCTTTCCTAAAGGAAGACCGGCAGGCCTGGGCGGGCACCACCTGTCTTGGGCACCATCGCACCCCCAGGGGTTGCCTGTCTGCGTCACCGGGGCACTGGCCTGCAGATGGGCATTAGTGACAGGGAGGTGGCAGAGCAGAGCAGAGCAGAGCCTCACGCCCGCGGCTGGTCCTCCCCCAGGTGCTGTCCTTCTCCACTGTCCACCAGATGGGCACGCTGCTGGCGGGGGTCGGTGCCCAGGCCCTCCACGGCATGGACCCCGGGGACCTCTGGCAGCTGCTGAGAAGTGCCGTCTCCCACCACCTGTCCGGCCTGTCACCTGCCCAGCAGCAGAGTGTCCTCAGGAAGGTGAGAGGAGGATGGCCGGGCCTCAGCCATGCGGCGCGCAGGACGCGGTTTTGAGGTTTTGTGAGTGGGCTGTGGATGTGGGTAACTAGTCCAGGGCTGCGGCCATCTCAGCCTTCAGTGTTCAGTTTTTTTTTTTCTGAACCCAGAAGCTGCTGTCTCCCTCTTGTCCCTTCCGGAAGGAGCCCCTTTGCTGCTGCCATGATTCTTCCCCAGCCCCATTGCTCCATGACCATCTAATCTGGAAGATGGACTGATATCCATATTTTAAGTCAGATTTCTTTTTAAAAATTTATTTATTTGAAAGGCAGAGAGAGAGAGAGAGAGAGAGATCTCCCATCCTCTGGTTCACTCCCCAAATATCCACAACAGCCAGGGCTAGGCCAGGAGTCTCCCAGGTGGGTGGCAAGGACCCAGTTATGTCAGCCATTACCGGCTGCCTTCCTGGGAGCTGGAATTGGACGTGGAGGCAGAACTTGAACCCAATATGAATGCAAGTATCCTAGGGTGTGTTTTAATCTTGTGCCCCAATCAGGTTTCCTAAATCAGGTTTCTCGATCTATTAACGTTTGAAAAGTTTGCTTTCCAAATCCCAAAATGAGTCCCAAAGTTCTCAGAGTACTGCCGAAGGCCCGTTCCCTTCTCACTCAGCGGCGGGTCTGTGGGGCATCTTATTCACACTACTCCATCAGAACTGCATGCAACTGCAAAATCTGTTAAGAAGCCAAACCCAAGGGGTCTGGCCTAAGGCACCGCCGCCTTGCAGACAGCAACAGCACAGACGGTTGAAACAGAGCGTGGGGTTCAGACTAAGGCAGACTTGCATTTGAGTCTCACTTCCAATCAGATAGTTTTTCTATCTGTAAAATGGGCGCGATCATAGTCCCCTCCTTCATATGGGGGAGCTCAGCGGGTCCGATGGATCTGGTTGTCCTTGAAGGAGTCTCCTGCCTTTACCCAGACCTCGACTCACCTTTTGCAGGGTGGTTAACCATGTTTCTGCTCGCTTCCGCAGGCGCTGGGAGCAGGAGAGCCTGCCCCGGGCATCATGGAGCTACAGGGGGCTTTCTTCATGGAAGTGTCGCTCTTCCATCTCCAGAGGGAGCCTGGACTCAGCACTACAATGCTAAGGGAAAAGCAGCTTCGGAGGAGCCAGGTCTGACCTTGCTGCCCACAGACTGGCCTTGTGTTTCTGTTTGTTTTATGGGAATTGTCTGCTTTTAGGCCAGTTTGGCCAGAGGTTTGTTTTTTTGTTTCTGTATGAATAGACCCAGGAGGCGGGACAGTGTAGCAGTAGGAAGCTGAGCTCAAATTCTGCCTCCCAGGTATCCGTCAGCTGTAGAGAGACCACTTCCCTCTACCTGGCCTCAGTTTTCTTGGGTACACAATGGGGACAAGTCCTTAAGGAGGCGCAGTGGTTTGTGCCACGTGCTGTGTGGGCCATGCACAAGAAACAACGGGGGCACTGCAAGAAGGGTGTGGAAAAATCAAGTTAAAACAGAAACAGTGAGGCCAGCACCATGGCATAGCAGGTACAGCTGCCTCCTGAGACAGGCATCCCCCGTGCAGTCAGGAGCCAGAACCAGGCACTCCAGTGAACCCATGGACTCCAATGCGGGACGCAGGTGTCTTAACTGATGCGTTACCCACAAGGCTAGATGCCGACCCTAGAGGCTTCATTTTATTTTATTTTATATTTATTTATTTATTTGAAAGGCAGAGTTACACAGAGAGAGAAGGAGAGGCAGAGAGAGAGATTGGTCTTCCATCCGCTCGTTCACTCCCCAATTGACCACAACAGCCGGAGCTGTGCCGATCTGAAGCCAGGAGCCAGGAGCTTCATCCGGGTCTCCCACGCAGATGCAGGGACCCATCTTCTACTGCTTTCCCAGGCCATAGCAGAGAGCTGGATCAGAAATGGAGCAGCCGGGACTAGAGCTGGCGCCCATATGGGATGCTGGCGCTTCAGGCCAGGGCTTTAACTCACTGCACCCTAGCGCCAGCCCCCGGTGGCTTAATTTTAAATCTCAGAAAATAAAGGTCCATGCCTTTGCTCCTCATTCACTCCTTACAGCAAGGGGAATCACGTGGTCAGAATCCAGAGTCCCTGGTGTCACTCTGCCTGCCGGCTCTGCCATTTAGCAACTGTATGGCCCTGGGCAACTAACACAGCCTGTTAAACCTCGCTTTCCCCATCTGTAACATGGGATCATCCAGCACCTTCCCCACAGTCCGACGAGTGCTCCATCAACGCTGTCTGTGGCTCTCTTCCTTCCAGGCCTTGTTCCTGTATGAGCAGCTGTCAGAGACAACCAGGAGCCCGGAGGAACTCCTAAGGTAGGAGGAAGCAGCTCCACCGGTGGGTGGAAGAGCCCCTTGGAGCCTACTTTCCCAGGTGGGAGCGTCCGACCCCAACACCTGGAGCCTGTGCCAGAGCGAATCTTCCTTCTCTTGGTCCCTCCCTCTCCCCACCCCCTTCTCCCTGCTCCCTGTTTTATTTCCTAGTGCTGGGCAGCTGGTCAAAGGCGTGACTTGCTCACACATTGATGCCATGAGCGCCGACTCCTTTCTGGCCCATTTCCAGTATTTCGAGAACAACCTGTCCCTGCTCTCACCGCATCAGGTACCACTGAAGCATTTCCCTGCCTCTCATTCTCATTCTCTCTCCCTACGCCCAGGCCCTGGGCCTGGACGGAGTGTGGTGGCTAAAAAGCTATGTATGCCAGAATTATTCAGAAGCAAGTGAGGACTGGAGACCAAACATCGAGCCAGGTTCTCTGCAGTTTCTTTGTGTAAAGCTCCAAATACCCACATCTCTGCCGCCGAAGTTTTTAACAGATCGATTATTCGGTAGTCAGACTTGCAGCTCAGGGTGCATTTGTTCATAATTGCCTTCTCCTGGGACTGCGGGCAACCCCCGCCACGGAACAGTCCGTCCTCTCCAGGGGTAGCCGTGCCCAGGACAACACTCAGGAAGGATTTTTCTTCTTTTAAAACCTCACTTTCCAAACCATTGTGGAAGCTCACTCGCAATCTGCGGAGATCGGAGGCAGAAAGTGAGCTTTCTCAGGACTGAGTTAGTAACAGCAGGCGCTGGGGACAGATCTGGGGACGGTGGGCTTTGCACGTGAGCTGTCGGCTGCCGAGGGTCCTGGCAGGGCGAGCACCAAGCGGATGCAAAACATCTCCTCTACCTTGGCCTTGGGTTTCAGACTCAAAACAAAACACAACGTTTGCAGGCCAGCATTGGTTTCTTCTATAAACAGGGAATTCTCTACCTGAGGGCCTGGAAGCAGAAGCGGAAGTGGTAATCCTTTTGAGGTCATCAGAGGACTTTGCAAAGGCTTGATAAAGGGGTTGTTTACTCCATCAGTGGCTCCCAGGCATGAGCCAGTGTCTGTGCTACCTGGAAGGCCCTATTGCAACACAGAGAGATGGCCGTGACATTGAGGTCTGGACCAGGCTGAAGACTCCAGGAACCAGGAACTCCACCCAGGTCTCTCCCACAGGGGTGGGGCCATCTTCTGCTGCCTTCCCAGGCACATTAGCCCGGGAGCTAGATCAGAAGCAGAGCAGCCGTGAAATCAGGCCCAAGAACTTACATTTCTAACCAGTTCCCTGGTGAGAACCTTTGAACTGTAGTCAAAGCTTGTCTAGGCAGGGAAGCCAATCACTGAGCAAATGGATGGAGATCAGACCCACTTTGAGGAAGACCTACATGTCCGAGTGGGAAGAATTGCCCCACAAAGGGGCTTCCCTAGACTCCCACTCTCAGAACCTTCAAATGCCAGTTCCTTAGAAAATTTGCCTGTATTATTTGTGCTTTTTTTTTAATGGGAAACACATCATTATTACTAAAAAAAAAAAATACAGTGAAAATAAAATTTCCCCTAGAGCAGAGGCTGTGCCCAGGGCACTGTTTTGCCTCCTTGGGGACTTTTGGGCGTACCTTTTGGTTGTCACAGTTGGGGAGGGGGTTGCTATTGACAACCAGAGGGTGGGGGCCGGGGTGCTGCTCAACACCCAGGGTTATCTGGTCTGCACCATCGGGAGTGCTTGGGTCCAGCAGCCTGTTCCAGAGAGCACTGGAGGGCACGGTTTGCCCTTGACCTCGACAAGTGTAATCACGTTTATGTAGGATGGGAAAGACACAAATGAGCTCCTTCTGCACACACTGTTCTGTTTCCGCTCATAGATGGCATGCGTCAGTTTGTGTTACATATGTTCTGTAATGCCTGGAGGTCATACACAGACCTACCTGATGAAAATACCATTGCTGCCTGCTATTCCACTGTAGGGCTGTGCCATCATTTACTTGACCCGGCCCCTCCTGAGGGGCATCAGAGCGATCTGTCACTCCCTCGCAGTTAAAACAAGACTGTGGCGAGCTTTCTCAGGCTTTCATTGTTTATGCTCATCTTGTCATTGTGTCAGTTTTCTCATCCAGAAAGTGGGTGCAGCAACAGCACCTGTGCCATAGGGTACCCTATTTCAGAGCTGATGTGTGTAAAGCACTTCGCATAGTGTGTGGGCTTGCTTTTGTCATCGTTGGACTGAATTCCTGAACCTGCCCAATCCTCCAGGTTAACTGTCTGGCGTGGAAATACTGGGAAGTCTCCAGGTCGTCTGTGCCACCTTTCCTCTTGGTTGCACTGCCGTAAGTGAACACTGGCCCCCTGTCTTTTCATCTTTATTCATTTATTTATCAAGATTTATTTATTTGAAAGGTGGAGTGACAGGGTGGTGGGGTTGGGGGAGGCAGAGAGAGAGAGAGCGAGAGAGAGAGAGAGCGCTCTTCCATTCACTGGTTCCCTCCCTGAACACCCATATCAGCCGGAGCTGTGCCAGGCTGAAGTCAGGAGCCAGGAACTGCACCTGGGTCTTCCATGGGGGTGGCAGGGGACTCATCAGCTGTATCTTCCCAGGCATATTAGCAGGGAGCTGGATAGGAAGTGGAGCAGCAGAGGCTTGAAGTGGCAGTCCACTGTGGAATCCGGGGATCACCAAGTGGTGGCTTAACTTGTGCCACAATGCCCATCATTCCTGTCTTTTTATTTTGTTTTATCTTAAAGGCAGGCCAACAGACACACACACACACACACACACACACAGAGGAATCTCCCATCCTCTGGTTCAGTCCTCAAATGCCCACATTAGCTAGGGGCTGAACCAGGCTGAAGAAGCTGGGACCCTGAAACTCAATCCAGGTCTCCTACGTCGGGGCAGGGACCCAAGTCCTTGAGCCATCACCTGCTGCCTCCCAGGGTGCACATTAGCAGGAAGCTGGAATAGGGACCAGAGGCAAGCATCTCAATATGGGATGCAGGCATCGCAAGCAGTTTCTTACCCACTGAATCAGACACCCGCCCCGCGGCCCCCATTCTGGGTCAGGAGTAGGGCTGTTGGGAATGGCCCAAGCCAAAGTGGTTCTTTCCTCGCTGGGTTTCTTGGAGAAGCCAGAGGCAAACCGGAGTGCCTTAGGCAGATCCGACCTTGAGAACCAGGGATTGAGCTCTGAGCCCCACAGAAGTATTCCAGCCCCTCTTGCTTTTCTTATTTCAAAATCAAAGCCAAAGCTTCCGCAGCTGGAATCAGCGCCAGTGAGGCAGGTCCTATCTGGGCTGACCTGGAAGCTGTGCCCAGGCTCCGGGGGTCAGGCTGATGCGGGCTGTGGGGCTTCCTCCTGGTGAATGTGGGGCAGCCCTGCTTTCAGACACAGCCTGGCCTCTGCGCCTCTCCTTGGTTTCCCCTCCTTCTTTTACCATTGTTATTTTCATTCTGAAAACTTCTTAAGTTCTAGACTCAGAGGTAGCTAAAGTTTCCCTCTTGAAAAGCTTATAACCTCGTGGGAGAAAATAGATATGAAGCTGATGATAATAGCAAGTTGTTTTTTTTAAAAAGATTTATTTATTTTACTTGAAAGATTTACACACCCATACACAGAGAAAGAGAGAGAGAGAGAGAGAGAGAGAGAGAGAGAAAAGTCTTCCATCCACTGGTTCACTCCTCAGATAGCCACAATGGCCGGAGTTGCACCAATCTGAAGCCAAGATCCAGGAGCTTCCTCCGGGTCTCCCACACAGGTACAGGGGCCCAAAGACTTGGGCCGTCTTCCACTGCTTTCCCAGGACACAGCAGAGAGCTGGATTGGAAGAGGAGCAACCGGGTCTCGAACCGGCGCCCATATGGGATGCCAGCACTGTAGGCCAGGGCGTTAACCCACTGCACCACAGCACCAGCCCTTGAAGTTGGTTGAAAGTGACAGAGCCTGAGCTCAGACTGGCTTAGGCATCAAAGATAATTTTTACTTGGGGTAACTGGAAAGTAGAGGGAGGGACTTCAGGCATGGCTGGATCTAGGGTTCAAAAGATGTCATCCATCTCATGGCCCAGCTCCCCTCTGCTGGCCTCACTGCCAGGCATGATCTTTCTCTGTGGTGGCCCCTGGCAGCCCCAAGCTTATGTTTTCCCTGCTTCATATTCAGGGAAAAGCAACAGACTTGCTCTTCCCATCATTTTCAATAAAAGTCTTGGGTTTGACTCTCATTGGTCTAACTTGGGCCAATTTGCTCTCTTTGAACCGATCAATGGATGGGGGGGGGGGGGATGGGAAGCTTTGACTGGCTGAGATCTGCAACGCATCCCTGGAGCTGGGATTGAAATCAGCTGTACCCCAAATCACAAGGGCTCAGAGCAAAGCCAAAAGCCAGATGCTGTTACCATGGGAATGGACCCAGAGGAGGCGGTACTGCCTTCAGTCTGGAGAGCTGGAGTCTGCACTAAAGCTTGAAGAATGAGCTGGGGGGCATAGAGAGCTTAAGACAGGCGCTCTAGGCAGGGGCACACAGGGCTGTCTGCCCCAGCAGTGGGAGAGGAAAGAAAAGCCTTCTGGGAAGCACGGGGCATGTGTTTGCAGAGCAGGTGCAGAGAGAAGACAGATGTCAGGTCATGAGGGCTTTGAGCAATGGCTGGAGGTGTTTCACTCGTATGCTGGGTGCAGCCATTAGATGCGTGTTCCATAAAGATAGGGAACAGAAGGCAGGGGCCCGAGTGGAAGACGGAGGACAGGGGAAGGGGATTCCAGTAACCCAGCTCTGGGTGTGGCTGGCTCCTGCTACCTAGCAGCATAAGTCCTGCCTTAGAAGGGGCTGCTCTGACTGCCCCCATTCTCTTTTCTTTTTAAGGTTTGTTCATTTTATTTCAAAAGAGCAAAGGAGAGAGAGAAAGAGAGAGGGAGAGAGAGAGAGAGAGAGAGACTTGCATTTGCTGGTTCACTTCCAAAATGACCGCAATAACCAGGGCTGGGTCAGCAGCCAGGAACTCAATCTGGGTTTCCTTTGTGAGTGACAGGAACCCAAGCACTTGACCATCACCTGCTGCTGTCCAGGGGGCACATTAGCAGGAAGCTGGACTTGAACCCAAGGACTCTGTGATATGAGATGCAGACAGCCGGAGCAATGCCAAACACCAGCCCCCTTAACCTTTATTCCACTGTTGCTTCCCTAAGGGGAGTGTTCTAATTTCTCCCTAATGTGAGACATTGTATACAAAAGGAAAAGATTTTGTTGAGTAGGTTGGGCTTTGATATCACAAATCATTATCACAACTAAGATTTTTCTCATCCACTGCCCTCACAAATTTCTCCTGTTGGGAGTGGCACTGCCTGTGTTGGGGACACGTGGCCAAAAGCTTCTGAGAGTTCTGGATTGGAGGTGACAGAACTGGGAGTCCTCTCTCTTACTCTTTCCACTCTCCTTCTCCCTATTTTATCCTACTCCCACGTTGTCTCTTTCTGTGTCAGCTGTCCTCTTCTTTCTCTCTGTCTTCCCCAGCCAGTTCCTAGTCCACACATGCCCATGGCTAACCTGTTCTCCAGCCAGTGGTGCAGGGGCACAGAAGAGGAGCACCAGAGGATGTTGGTTGCCTGCCCATTCAGGAGGAGTGTGATGAGCAGGCGGCCTGCTGCCTGCTACGAGGAGCCCCGGCTTTCCTGGGGAGGGCTCCCACCGAAAGGGCACCCCAGGGCTGAGCTCTTGGGCAGGTGGTCCCTGATTTCCAGGGCAAATACGGAGCAGCTGTCATCATCTTCTTCCACCCACCCTCCACGCTCCCTCCAGGGCTCGCTACGTGGCTTCCATCCCAGCCTCCCAGTGTGTGCCGTTCCTGATCAGCCTGGGGAAGAGGCGGCTGGATTCCTTGGTTTTAGATTCCCACAAAAGGAACTTGGTCATCAGAAAAGTGCAGCAGTGCCTGGTAAGGACTCTGTCCCTCTAGGAGACTTTGGCTGGTGTCCCTTCCCCTCCAGCACCTGTGGCCATTCTGGGGAGCACCCCGGGAGGTCTTGCTGGGAGCTTGAGCCTGCTGTGACCCTTGGAGGTCTGACTTGTGGGTTTCAAAGTTGGCTCTGAAGTTGCTGCTTGGAAATAATCTTGGCCATTGATTCTTTTTATTTATTTATTTTTTAAGAATTACTTATTTGAAAGTCAGAGTTACACAGAGAGAGAAGGAGAGGCAGAGAGAAAAAGAAAGAGGTCTTCCATCTGCTGGTTCACTCCCCAATTGGCCACAATGACTGGAGCTGGGCCGATCCAAAACCAGGAGCCAGGAGCTTCCTCTGTGTGTCCCACATGGGTGCAGGGGCCCAAGGACTTGGGCCATCTTCTACTGCTTTCCCAGGCCATAGCAGAGAGCTGGATCGGAAGTAGAGCAGCTGGATATTGAACCAGCTCCCATATGGGATGCCAGTGCTGCAGGCAGTGGGTTTACCTGCTATGCTATAACGCCAGCCCCAGCCATTGGTTCTGAGCCCCCCAATCTGGGACCTGAATGAGGGGAGGCCTCTCTGTTGGACTGGAAAAACAGACACACAAAGTGTATGTTAGACATGCCTCTGCCAGCCCTTTTATGTGGCGTCGGGCAAAATCACTTCCTCTCCCCAAGCCTCAGTCTCTTTATCTGTGATATGGGAGCAATAGCGCATCCTTCCTGGAGTTCTTGATGGTATGACGTGGGCAATGCATCATTGAATGCAAAGGCCCAAAGGCCAGAGTGCCTGGGAAGCTGCCAGTTTCTTTCTCTTTAAAAAGTGGACACTATTGGCCGGCGCCGTGGCTCACTAGGCTAATCCTCCGCCTTGCGGCGCCAACACACCGGGTTCTAGTCCCGGTCAGGGCGCCGGATTCTGTCCCGGTTGCCCCTCTTCCAGGCTAGCCCTCTGCTGTGGCCAGGGAGTGCAGTGGAGGATGGTCCAAGTGCTTGGGCCCTGCACCGCAAGGGAGACCAGGAGAAGTACCTGGTTCCTGCCATCGGATCAGCGCGGTGCGCCGGCCATTGGATGGTGAACCAATGGCAAAGGAAGACCCTTCTCTCTGTCTCTCTCTCTCTCATTGTCCACTCTGCCTGTAAAAAAAAAAAAAGTGGACACTATTGATACTTAGCTCTCACAGTTGCTATGAAGATGAATGGTTTTAGGTCTGTAGATGTTGGCTACTTTTGTCATTTTGGGGATCGCAAACCTTGCAAATGCCATACAAATGTCAAAGGTTGTCTTTGATTATTTTTATGTCATTTTTTCTTAAAAAAAGAAATTTATTTATTTAAAAGGCAGAATTACAGAGAGGCAGAGGCAGAGAGAGAGAGAGAGAGTTCATCCATCTACTGGTTCACTCCCCAGATGGCCGCAACGGCCTGAGCTGCGCCGATCCGAAGCCAGGAGCCAGGAGCTTCCTCTTGGTCTCCCATGCAGATGTAGGGGCCCAAGCACTTGGGCCATCTTCCACTGCTTTCCCAGGCACCTTAGCAGGAAGCTGGATCAGAAATGGAGCAGCCAGGACTCGAACCAGTGCCCGTATGGGCTGCTGGCACTGCAGGCGGCAGCTTTACCCACTATGCCACAGCGCCAGCCCCTTGTGTTATTTTTGTTGTTGTTGAATGATGGGGTATTCCCAGAGCAGTAGCCACACAATCCTCACTGAGTGCTCGTGATGTGCCAAGGTGGGGTTCCCCGGCTAAACCACTGCCTGCTCCATCCATAGTCGCCCATGGCAGGTAGGTGGCTTACACGCTGGGGTTGTGTAAGACTTCCAGGGTTGGGAAGGGTTTTTACGAGACCATGGCCTTGAGTCCTGCTGGATCGTCTCATCACCTGCGCTTGTCGGACTCAGGGTGACTCCCTTGCCGATGAATACGCCGTGGACATCGTGGGGAACTCGCTGTGCCACCTGCCAGCAACCGTGATCAACACGGGAATCTCCCCCAAGGCCTGGGCCACTGCCCTGCACCGCCTCCGCGGCTGCCCAGATCTTGGCCCTGAGCAGAAGGCTGCGGTGAGGCTCCGGCTCCTGGAGGAGCTCGGGTGAGGGGCGCTGGGGCCGGGCTGCGGGAGGTGTGGTGTGCAGGGTGCAGGGGACCCGACCTGGACCCTCCTGTCCCCCCGATCGGGAGGGGTTGGGTGCAGAGGCTCTTGCAGGAGACTCCCTGTAACGTGGCGGTAGTAGCTGCCCTGCAGCTCCCTTGTTTAACACCCGTCCACCTTGCCACAGGGCAGGGGAAGAGCTTTGACAAGATGGCACTTTGCACATGCAAGACGATGTGTTTGTTATTCAAATGCTAGGTTTTAGGTTCACAGCAACACCTAGGTGAAGATTCCCAGATCTTTCCACGTACCCCCTGTTCCACACACCAGTGGCTTCCCCACTGTCAACATGCCTCACCGGAGTGGTCCATTTCTTACCCGTGATGAGCCCGCATGGACAACGTTGTCATCATCCCCCATCTCTGGCATGAGGGCTCACTCTTGCTGTCGAATGTTTTGTGGATTTGGATAAATGTGCAACGATGTGTATTCACCAGGATGGTATCACCCAGTGTCTTTTCCCTGCCTCCCAAACCCTCTGTGTTCTGCCCATTTCGCCCTTCCTCTTAATTGTCACATGTGGAGCAGTCTCCACAGAGTATTTCAAGTGACACAGGGAAAGGACTTTCAGCAGTGTCTGACACCCAACGTTGTGACAGCTGTTTTAGTACTAACATTGAAAATATGGTGGTTACTAAGATAGGCATTGTTCCTGCCCTCAGGGAGGGGGCGTAATATTTGTAACACAGAGATGCATTGCCCCTGCTAACTGAGCAGCTGTATTTTGAAGAAATTAGCAGAGACAGCATTTCACGGTAGACATTTGTGGTCTATAGAAGAACACCAGTGGCTTCTAGGCCATTGCCAACATTCTCCTGCCAAATTCAAGAGGAAATTTTGTATCACTAGGAAGGAGGACTGTTATGCTAATTCAGAAATGGAATGTCGTGGAAAACTACAGGGGTGACCTTCAGGCATGGCTGGATCCAGGGGCTCAACTGATGTCATGAGGAATGCATTCCTCCCATCCTTGGTGTGGTCTTTATTTTCTTCGCGTGGTAGCAGAGAAGGCCTACAAGAGCCCCTTTACCAGGGGAGAAACCAGAAAAAAGAGCTTCTCTGGGAGTTCCACCAGAATTCCCGGGGCCGACTCTGATTGGCGGCAGTCTGCATCAATGCCCTTATTGATTGATTTGGTGAAGGAAGTGGGACCATGAGATTGACAGCCCCTCCCAGGGTGAAGGGTGGTCTGCTTCTGAGTATAAGGGGGCTGGGGGCCTCGCGTGGTTCCTCGGAGCACTGCATGGGTTTTCACTTTGCTACCTGCTGTCTCTTCTCAGACCCCCTGGGAACTGGACCGCCGAGATGACGGAGGACTTGGGAGTCTTTCTCACGCTTTTCTCAGGAGAGGAATTAAGCCCTGTTGCCACCAAGGTACTTCTGCACTCCGTCTTACAAAGGCTAAAGGGAGTTGAAAGTGTGGTCAGGTGTACCCCATGGGGCTGGCTGCTGGTCCGTGGTCCTGGAAGCTTCTGTCCTGCCTCAAGGGGCTCCTTCCCTGGTTGCCCGAGGTCCAGGAGAAGGGGGTGGGGCAGCAGCCACCTGAACTCTGGGCCTTTCCCATGATGCCCCAGGCAGATGTGCGGCCTGGGGCTGTCGTTGAGCCAACACTGTGTGTGCCCTACACGCGTGTCCACACAAGGTCTCATACTCCTGGTACCATGGGCATACACACGTATGTCCAGTGTGTGCCATCATAAAGCTCTACTGGGCACAGCGCTCAGAGCTGGACAGCACAGGCCTAGAGGCAAGCCAAGCAAGCAAGCATCGGTTACCTTTGGCTGCATGACAAAGCCACATGACACACCAAGCTTGCAGGTCTGCTGGTCTCTGGGGAAGCCCTGCTGTCTGAGTCTATCTCTGGGACCCTTCACGGACCTGCTCAGAGGAAAGGGTCGAAACGCCCGAAAAGGGAGTGGAGAAGTGCAATTCTGCTGAAGGCCCAGGCTGCCACGTCCTGCCACGCTCCAGCCTCCAGAAAAAGTCCCAGGACCAAGCCCACCTGACTGTGGCAGGAAGAGGCAGTGCAGGGTGGAGGAGGGGTGAGGGCCTGCTGAACGGGGATGAGATCTGCCACAAAGCCCGTCACCCACTCTCCCACCTGCGTCTGTCACACCTGCTCAGCATGGGGTGTCCCCCACAGCACACATCCTAACTCCCAGTCAAAGGAAAACCATCTTTCGGATTTCCGCACATACAGTCAGAAGCAGTAGATGCACAAACACCGCATACCAATCTTTTAAAAAATATCAGCATCTGGCTGGGGCTGTTGTTGTGGCGTAGCAGGTAAAACCATTGCCTGCGACGCCAGCATTCCATATGGGCTCCCCGCTAATGGCCTGGGACAAGCAGCATAAGATGGGCCCCTGCTACCCACGTGGGAGGCCCAGAAGAAGCTCCTGGCTCCTTGCTTCAGCCTGGCTAGCCCCAGCTGTTGCAGCCATCTGGGGAATAAACTAGTGGATGAAAGATCTCTCTTTCTCTCTCTCTGTCTCTCTTTCTCTCTGTAACTCTATCAAATAAATAAATAAATCTTAAAAAAAGATCAATGTCTGGGGCAGTGTTTGGTGTAGTGGTTGGGATGCTGCATGGGACTCCTGCATCCCATATAGGAGTTCCCAGGTTTGAACCCTGGCTCTGTTCCTAATTCCAGCTTAACTCAGGTATTTGGGTCTCTGCCACTCTCATGGAAACCTGGATTGTGTCCCTAGCATCTGGCTTTGACTTAGCCCAGCTCTGCCTGTTGTAGGCATTTAGGGAGTTTTAGGGAGTAAACAAATGGATGGGAACACTCTCTCTCTGTGTGTCTCTCAAATTAATAAAAGGTCCATTTTTGAAGTCAACAGTTTTTTTTAAAAAAAGATTTATTTATTTGATAGGCAGAGTGTCTGAGTGAGAGGAGAAAAAACAGGGAGAAAGAGAGAGAAAGAGAGAGAGAGAGAGAGAGAGAGTGATTTTCCATCTACTGTTTCACTCCCCTAATAGCTACAGTGGCCACCTGGATTGCCCATATGGGTAGCAAAGCCCAAGTACTTGGGTCATCTTCTGATACTTTTGCAGGTGCATTAGCAGGGAAGGGATAGGAAGTGGAACAGTCGAGATTTGAACCGGTGCTGTGATATGGGATGCTTCTGTTGCAAGCATCAGTTTAACTCCCTGCACCACAACGCTGGACCCTGAAATTGACAGTCTTGTATCAACATAGTGAAATCTCAAAAGTGCAGTGTAGAGTGAAAAACAAAAGGACAAAAACAAACAAACAAACAAACAACAAAAAAAAAAACAACCCAAGATCCTAAAGACTATTTATAGTAGGATACCAAACGAATGAATACATACTAGCCAAGTTAACTTTAAGCACATCCAAATCAGGTCTTTATGACAGAGAAGTTTAAAAGCGTGCAGGAGAATGGTTCATGCCAAATTCACGATGACAGTCACTGCTGGGGAAGGGGAGAAGCAGAGGGTGAGGGAGGGACTCACCAGTTGTAGTTGTTGTATTATTCTCTATGCTTTCTTTAAATTCTGGAAATGTCTATTAGAACAAGTAATACACACTCCTGGTTAAGGATCCAGCTGTCACCGAGGCTGCAGGAGGAAGAGCAAGTCTCCCCAGCCCCAGACTTCCAGTTCTGCAGCTTCCTTCTGAGAGGCAATTGCTCTTCCTAACTCCTTCTACGTGCTTCCAGAAAAGCCCAACCCATGTGTGCACACACTCTCCCCTTTAATTTTATTGTTTTCAGGTTTATTTTAATTATTAGAGTTACAGACAGGCAGGGAGAGACAGACAGAGAGAGGTATCTTCCATTCACTGGTCCACTCCCTAAATGGCCCCATTGACCAGGGCTGGGCCAGGCTGAAGCCAGGAGAGGAGCCTGGAACCCCATCTGGGTCACCCATGTGAGTGGCAGAGGCCCAAGCTCTTGGGCCATCTTCTGCTTTCCTAGGCCATTAGCAGGGAGCTGGATCAGAAGTGGGACAGCCAGCACTAGAACTGGCGCCTATATGGGATGCTGATGTCAAAGGCAGTGGTTTAACCTACTGTGCCACAATGCTGGCCACATACTCCCCCCACCCCTTTTAAATTTACTTGAGAAGCAGAGTTACAGAGAGGAAGAGACAGAGAGAAAGGTCTTCCATCTGCTGGTTCACTCCCCAAATGGATGCAACAGCTGGAGCTGAGTTGATCCGAAGCCAGGAACCAGGAGCCAGGAGCTTCCTCTGGGTTTCCCACACAGGTGCAGGGGCCCAAGCACTTGGGCCATCTTCCACTGCTTTCCCAGGCCATAGCAGAGAGCTGGATCAGAAGAGGAGCAGCTGGGATTTAAACCAGTGCCCATATGGGATGTTGGCGCCACAGGCAGAGGCTTGGCTCACTATGCCACAGATCTGGCCCCAAGCACTCTCCCTTTTAAACATACAAAAAGGAAGGGGCTGGTGCTATTGCGTAGAAGGTTAAGCATCCACCTGCCGTGCTGGCATCCCATAAGGGCAGTGGTCTGAGTCCCGGCTGCTCAGCTCTGACCCAGCTCCCTGTTAATGTGCCTGGGAAAGCAGTGGACGATGGTCCAAGTCTTGGGGCCCTGCATGCATGTGGGAGATCAGGATAAAATTCCTGGTTCCTGGTCCACCTCCGGCCATTGCGGCCATTTGGGAAGTGAACCAGTGGAAGACATCTCTCTCTGTCTTTCTTCCTCTGTCTTTAACTCTGCCTCTCAAATAAATAAATAAAATCTTTTTTTAAAAAAGATTTACTTATAAAATTGAAAGGCAGAGTGACAGAGACAGGAATCTTCCTTCCATCTGCTGGTTCACTCCCCATATGATCACAACAACTGGGGCTGACCCAGGCTGAAGCCAGAAGCTTGGAACTTTATCCTGGTCTCCCCACGTGCGTGGCAGGGACCCGCGTACTTAAACCCACTGCCTTCCCAGGGTGTGCATCAGCAGGGAGCTGGATTGGAAGTGGAGTAGCTTGGATTCTATCCGGTGCTCTGGTGTGGGATGCAGGCATCCCAGGTGGCAACTTAACCCACTGGGCCACAAAACCTGCCCTTCTGGGGTTACATTTATATGAGAAGTTGCCGCAGAGAAAACAAACGGAGGCAGGAAGTAGTGCTCCAGCTTAAACTCTGAATTAAATCTGCATCTAACGTGCTTTCATTAGGACTGGTTCACCTTTCATGGTCTCTGACCCCTACAGTTTCCCGATATCCTTCAACAAACAGCTTCCCACCTGGCCGGGACCCTGCCCCCTGAAGGATTCCTTGGTGCTGTTTTTGCATCTGTCCGGAACAGCAGTGACCGCAGCCTCGGCTCTGCCCCTGTCCCTGGTGAGTGTCTCCGGGGGTCTCTGAGCCGCTTAACCAGGGTGGCACCGTCCGGGGCTGAGTCCCTGACATCGACAGGCCTCGCTGTCTCAGGGGCCAGATGGAACATCCACAGAGCCACAGAACAGCAGACATCCAGGGCTGCAAAAGGCTAGCTCCGTGGGGGAGCGGGGATTTGGACTCATGGCCCAGCCAGCAGGTGAACCATGTGGGTGACAAGCCTTTCGGTAGGCTTGGTAGCTAACTGTTGCCATGAGGGGGCCGGGATGACTGGATGTGTATCCTGAGTCTTGCCACACACTGGGTATGTGACGTGGAGTAAGCTCGTGGACTCTCTCCGTTTTCACCGCCTCTGTGGAATCAGGGTAACGAATATCTCTGCTCTAGTGAGTTGTTGGGGATCGATGGGTGTAGACACATGAACGTGTCCACAGCACTGCCTGGCATGTAGTAGACACTCAATAAGTGTTGGGGAGTTTTAGCGTCCTTCCTAGGTACTTACCAGGTGCGGACTTGGGGGCCAGGTCTGAGGAGTCGAGTTAGCCAGCCCCCAGAATACTGATACAGTGACAGAATCCTAGTTAAAAGTCACCGCTTGCTTTCATCCCCCTGGCAAATAGTTATTGAGCATCAGTGTGAGTAAAACAGAAAAAAATTCCCCCACAGAGCTTACTTTCTTTCTTAAAAAGCTTTTTAAAGATTTGTTCTTGAGAGGCTGAATGAGATAGGGGGAGGGAGAGAAAGAGAGAGACAGACAGAGAGAGAGGGAAGGAACTCCCACCCACCGGTTCATTGTCCAAATGCCCACAGGGGCCCCAGGGCTGAGGGCGGGGCCAAAGCTGGGGGTACTACTACTGCATTCTAGTATGGGGTGTCTGCCTGCACTACACACAAGCAGGATTTCTCCATACTCAGGGGGAAGAAGCTCTCTTATCAAATGCATAGACAGAGTTTTCTTCAATTAATTATTGATTACTGAATTAGCAGAATTACCTCTTGATTTCATTTTAGTTGATTTATAAAAAAAATGTATTTATTTATTGGCAAGGCCATCTTCTGCTGCCTTTCCAGGTTTATTAGCAGGGAGCTGGATTGGAAGTGGAGCAGCTGGGACTTGAGCTTTCACTCATAGGATGTGGGCAATGCAGGCTGGGGCTTAACCCGCTGCACCACAGTTAATTATTTTAGTTAATTTTTGAGACAGTGTTGATTCTACAAATACAAGGGGACTTCAAAAGGTTTATGAAAATACACATTGTCTTTTAATCCCATTTTCCACGAATTTCTTAAGCCCTCTCATATTTGCTGAACACCTACTACGTGCCAGTCTCTATCCTAAGCCTTGGACAGACGGCAGTGATAAGAACAAGTCCCTACTGTGCTATTAAACCATTCTGTCCCTCTCTGATTCTGTGCTGTCACTTGTCCTGTTTTTGTGCTAAAGTGGGTGAGAATGGGTGTAAGACAGACTGGATTGTAGTCCCCTCCCAGTGGGTTCTTTGAGATTTTATTTATTTGAAAGGCAGAGTTATAGACAGAGGGGAAGAGACAAAGAGAGAGGTCTTCCACCTGCTGCTTCAACTGCCCAAATGGCTGCAATGGCCGAAGCTGCGCTGATCCAAAGCCAGGAGCCAGGAGCTTCTTCCTGGTGCAGGGGCCCAAACACCTGGGCCAACTTGCACTGCTTTCCCAGGCCACAGCAGAGAGCTGCATCGGAAGGGGAGCAGCCAGGGCAGGAACCGGTACCCATGTGGGATACCGGCACCACAGATGGAGGCTTAGCCCACTGTGCCAGAGCGCCGGCCCCCGAGTGGGTTCTGATTAAGATGTTTGAGGACCACAGTTGGCCTTCCCTCTTGATGAGAGCCCAGAAATTTCCCAGTGAGAGGGGTGTGGACTTAGGAGACACCCTGAAGTCCGGTGGCCTTGGTGACTTTGTCAGCGTCCGTGGTACTCAGCCGCTGAGTCAGGACACCCGGGATTGCTCCTACAGAGCTTGGATTTTCTTCCGGGCTGAGCACGTCGGGACCATCAAAGCCAGCATCTCAGCCGTGGGTTGGTGGGCAGCGGCTCTGAGCAGATGAGGCTCAGGTGGATGGGTTCCTCTTTCTGCCAGGGAAAATGCCTCAGGACCACTTCTCTGCTCTCCTGGGACAGGAAGGCCACAGGCTCATTGCGATTTTTACGGACAGCAAGTCATCCTGTCCGTTGGCTGGGAGGACTCCATCTTCATAATTCTGGAGTCCTGAGCTTGACGTGACCGCAGCCATTTTGGATGCACTTGCTGTGTTGCCCTTGAGTAACTCTGAGGTCCTCCCAAGCCCTGTGGACCAAACGTGGTCATTAAGAGAACCTGATGCTCTTATCTGATGTTCTTATGCCCAGAATGCAGAATGTCTCTTCTCTAAGCCGGGAAGTTCTCTTATGAATGTTAATATTTCTTTTTTTAAAATATTTATTTATTTGTTTGCAAGGCAGAGTCACAGAGGGCAGAGGCAGAGAGAGAGAGAGAGAGAGAGAGAGAGGTCTTCCATCTGCTATTTCACTCGCCAGATGGCTGCAAGAGCCAGAGCTGAGCTGATTCGAAGCCAGGAGCCAGGAGCTTCTTCCAGCTCTCCCACGTGCTTAGAGGGGCTCGAGGACTTGGGCCGTCCTCCATTGCTTTCCCAGGTGCGTTGGCAGGGAACTGGATCGCAAGTGGAGCATCCAAGACTCAAACTAGCACCCATATGGGATGCTGGCCCTGTAGGTCAGGGCTTAAATCCACTACACCACAGTGCTGGCCCCAGAATGTTAGTATTTCTTCAAAGAGCCCAGGTGCAGTCAGGTTAGCTACTGGCCTTCTGTATCTATGAGACCTTTTATTCTCCTGCCCCCTGCCGCAGGGATCCATCGTCTCCTGGCTGCCTGAGACCATGCTTCTGCCCATAAGCTTCCCCACCGAACTGTGCTTTGGGTCATCTTGGGTTTGTCCTCCGTCTTCGGTCTCTGCACCTCCCACCTTAGGCAGCCGGTTCCCTACACTGGGGTTTTCCAGAACAGCTGGGTTACATGTGCAGATACACGGGGATCCAGGCAGATGGCATCAAGAATAATGGCTAGCATTTACTGAGTGCTTAATGTATGCCTGGCAAGTGGTTTATATAGGACACATTTAGTGTCCACAGCCATCCTGTGGTGTGATTTTATAGAGATGGAAACTGAAGTCCAGAGGGCCAAGTGGCTTTGGATTTAAATCTCATGTCAGGAGTATCCACTATCAGCTCTCACTGCACTGGCTCATGTGGTCCAGTGGCAATGTGGATGTGCAAGAAGCTGGTATCACCATTTTAGTAGCTGGTCACCAGCAAGAAAGGCATCTTGTGAATAAATCTGACTGGGGTGAGTTATTCCTCATTCCAGGAGAGAATCGGGCTAACCTGCCCTGAGTTCTGCTTCCCCCATCCCCTCCCTGCGTCTCCCCATTCACTTTTCAGGTTGCCATGGAGTCGTGGCTCCCTCTCCCAATGACATCTTCAGGCTGGCCGAGGCCAACGCCTGCTGGGCCCCCGAGGACTTGCTCTGCATGGACGGAGACACTTTCATCAGGAGCGTGGAGCTGCTGGGGGCTGTCCAGGGTTTCAGCCACGCGCAGCTGATGGCCCTGAAGGAGAAGGCTGTGCAGGTAAAGCTCACCAGAAGGAGAAGGCATTCAACAGAGGGGGAAAGCACGTATGCACATACACACACACACACACACATACCCACACACACCCACTCACATCCCCCCCACATGAACACACACACACACATACACACACACCCCCACAGACACATGCACATGTACACACCCATGCACACACCCACACACACATATCCACAGACACATACACATGCACAGACACATACACCCAGACATGTACAAACACCCACACATGCACCCCCCACACACCCACAGACACACACCTACACAAACACACTCAAACCCACCCACTCGCAGACACACCCACTCACAGACACACGCACCCACACCCACACCCACCCACACATGCAACCCACACCCATGCCCCCACAATGCACACACACCCACACATGCACCCACATACACACACACCCCACACATGCACACACACCCACACACACCCATACCCACACACCCACACATACACCCACATACACACACACCCCCCCCACACCCCCACACGCACCCCCCCACTCACACACACACACCCATACCCACACTCACACAC